TCCAAGCCATGTCCCCGCCCTTGGGGCTCCTTCCCTTGCCCCATGCTGGGTGCTGACCAGCAGGAGAATGTTTATGAAGACAGTAAATAGGCCAGCAGCACCTTCCAAACAGGGGCCGGCAGATGCCCGCCCACCAGCCAGCCTGCTGCCTCTGGCCGACCCCTGGTTAAAGATGAGCCAGGGCTAGGGAGGTGAGAATCTAAACAAATAAGACACTGGGGCTGATGGGTGGCCCTGCTTTGAAGGAGCCCCTTGCCTGGCCCTGAGGGCCTTGGCACCAGTGCCCTGGCCGTATCTTGGTTGCCCTGCACTGCTGACAGCATGTGGGCCCAGTGGGTCCCTTGCCAGAGCTGGCCCTGGTGCCCTCAGTCTGGCCCCTCCTCTCTTCCTCTCCCTTCCTTTCTCCCCACTGGCCTCAGATTGTTCTCCAGGTGTTTGCTAGCGCCGTTTTCCCACTGAGCGCCTCTTGCTTCTGTCCATCAGTCCAAACTCTCTTGTCCTTCAGGGCCCAGGACAAATCTTGTTTCTTCTAAGAGGCTGTCTCTGACTCACTGTGAAACGGGAAGGGCACCTCAGCCTCGGTTGGAGAGCATTATCCTAAAAGGGGTATTTATCCTAAAGAAGAGAAGGCTAAGGGAGAGCCAAGGAGCAGATGGGGGACACTTCTGGATCCATGCAAGGACAGCTTTCCTAACAGCTGTAGTTGTTCAGAGAGGGGGGACAGATAGCCTTGGGATGTGGTGAGCTGCTTGTCCCTGGGGGCATTCTAGGCAAGGCTGGGTGAGAGCTTGGCAGAGAGAAATGGATTTCCTCTGGAGACACTAAGAATTTTGTAAGGAAATTATATTCAAATATTTTCACGCCTCCAAGCTTTGATCCTCCCATATCTGACTGGCTCCTTGGGGCCCAGGTGCTGGCTTCTCTTCTCTTTACCACTGCCTAGGCCTGGGCAGGTCAGTGAGTGGGTGACCTGAATGCCACCTGGAGGGGAGGAAACCCTGGCCCTGGCTTCACTGGCCTTGTGGGTCCTGGTTATTTCCACCCTGGTGCAAAGTATCGCCACTCCCCCTCCCGCCCCGCCAGGCGCCAGATTCTGCAGGAGCTGAAGACTGACAAATTCCTGCCCAAAAGATGAAAGCCGGGACACCGAGAGGGTTGCCAGCCGAGCAGCATCTCCTGTGGCCTCGCGCCGCTCCCTGCTCTGGGCCCTGACATAAACACCTCCAAGGTGGGCAGCCATGTGTCCCCGGCCCGGGGAGTAGAACTTGTTGCTTCCGAATGGGCCAGCCCATCCTTGGGGTGACAGGTTGCCCTCTGCCCTGTCTCCAAGCGGGGACCCTGGGCTAAGCCTGGCCCCAGGGCACTCTCCCGTGGCTTTGGGGACCCAGCCCCTTCCCTGGCTTTCAGTCAGCTCTGACCTCTGCCGGCCCTTCTGCATAGGGCGCCCTGCCCGGCTGCTCCGTCTCCAGTGTCATCTATTTCAGGCACAGCTGGGCACACCGAGGGGATGCTTATTTTGGAGATGGCCAGCAGCCTGTAGCTGCTTCCGACCCCGAGGGGCAGCCTGGCTGGGAGAGAAGACAGACTTGGGCTGGGCACTGGCTCCGGGGATTCCATTTTTAGCTGTTTCCCAGCATCTCCTGTACCTTTCCGCCTGACTCCTCCAAGATTTCAAGCAAGGCTGAAAGGGTCATTTTCCTGCCCCTCCTCCTCCTCTCTCCCCACCCCCTGCTGTTTCTCCGGCCTTCTCTTCTTTCCCCTCTCATCTCCGCTTCGTAGCTTCTCCTTCCTGGTCCTCAGTCAAGGATGCCATTCATGACCCATGTGAAGTCCTACAGTCCGGTGCAGAGCGCTCGTTGCCTGCTGCGGGGGAACCTGACTGTGGTTGGCAGACGACCTGAGTAGGCACTGGTACCTGAAGTTGTCAAGTACCTCGGTCTCAGGGGCTGCCCGCCCTACCTCTGACCCCCATGTCATCATCGCAATGCAGTTGTGATTCCCCCCGTTCTCTAGCTGAGTGACCTGGGGCTGGGAGGCACGGTGACTCAAGTGCTGGCTTGGACATTTCAACCCAGGCCTGGATCACCCCAGAGCCCATGCACTCTCTTCGGAGCCCTGGGGCGGATAAACCCTAACAGTGGCTCCTACTTACCTCGTGACTACAAGGTGCCCTCGAGGTGACCTTCTATGTGCCCTCTGTAGCTTACTGCATTTGGACTTCACTGCATCCCTGCTGAGCGGGGTGTTAGAGCACAGATGTGATACACCTCGGGGAATGCCGACTTCACGGCTGAAGAAGAGAGGCCCAGAGAGGTTAAGCTATTTATCTAAGGTGCTATGGACAGGAAATGATGCAGCCAGGATTTGAACCTCGGCTGATGACTTCAAAATCCTTACACTTAACTATGCTTCTGTCCTGCCTACCAGTATATGGATTCGGGTTCCTAAAAAACCCCAAATACCCTGAGGTTACGTTATGAGAAGTCTAGCGCAAATATCAAGGGAGGCGGTGGTCACACTGTGCCTTGAGCGGGTCAGGGAACATCTGGAGCACTGAGTCTGGTTCTGCTCATTGTCTAAGCGGTGGGAAGGTGTGTGGTGGGTCTGAGTATTCCCTGAGGGGAGTGTTTTCTCCACGGGGCTACCCCAGAGGTAGTATTGGCACAGAGGGACACTGGAGCTGAGACGTTAAGTAAATCTATCCAAGATATCCTTGGATACAGGGAGCTAGATTTCAGTCTAAGAGAAGGAACTGCTTTCTTAGAGGAGCTCATCAGTGGCTCAGGTTGCCTGAGAAGCAGCCATGTTTAAGTACAGAAGGACCCCTGAAGGGGCAGAGCTTGGGGAGCACACATCCAGCCCCATTCAGAAGCCTGTGCTGATGGTCTGCCCAGCTCCATGGGCCCTGGACCGAGTGTCCTGAGTGTGTGGGGTGGGGTGAGGTGGGAGGGGAGTGTAGGGATACGTGCGTGTGAGGCCTGTGACAGCCTCCTTCCTATAGGCTCTGGCTGGCATCTCTGAGCCTTTTGTTTTCTTGTCACTCTGCTGTCCCTGTCCCTTCCTCTCCATCTCCAACCCTGGAGTTGTCTAGGGCCAGTGCCCACAATGCCTAAGGTATGGGGAGCAGGGGCTATTCTCCGGGGCCCCCAGTCAGCCTACAGCCTGCGCCAGGTCCCCACAACCGTCTCTCAGACGTCCCCTCCTATTTGGGCCACCTTGCCTCTGCCTCTCTGCAGCCCCCAGCCTCTCTGCACCATCGCTGTCACAGATGCACCATCGCTGTCACAGAGTCAATTCCCTGGAATAATCGCATTTTCCGGCTGGCTCCCTCCTTCTTGCCAAGCACGATGCTGGGAATCCCAACCAGCCAGGCCCCAAGAGGCTTCTCCAGGCAGGCGGCGGTGGGGGACCAGGGAAGGGGTGGGGGCAGTGGTTGGCCAGCACCCTCTCTTGCCGTGGCCCAAACAACACTGTTCCTGAAAGGTGCAGGGGGAGAACAAAAACAAGGAGGCTTTAGAGACGGTCTCTAGATTTAACTGGAGCTGAATTCTGGCCTTAGCCGCCCAGGTTAGTCCAGTCCTCCAAGATTTGCTTTCACATCCAGCACCCCAGCCATCCTTATCCAGGTCCTGGAGAGAAAGCACAGATCCTCCCTTGGGGAGGCTCAGAGAAAAGGCTCCCAGGGAGGGATTGGCCCGTGATGTGGTCTACAGTGGCACTAGCCAAATCTGAGGACTATGACTCCCACAGAGGGGGTGCAGGTTCAATAAAGAAGGAGGGCCTGAAATCAAAGAATGTGATGTGGGGAGTTGGACAGACCTTGCTTCATTCTCGGATCTGTCACTTGATGGCTGTCACATCACATCTCTGAGCTTTATCTCCATAATGGGAACACTTCCATGGGATGTTTTAAGGATGAAATGCAGGGGTAATTTATCATGCATGATGACTTTTATTATAAATGATAGGACTCCATAAAGTAGGACATAACACAGCCATTTAAAAAAATATGGTGTTGGAAACATGGTTATTGGCATGAAAAGGTGCTCAGGACATAGTGGAAAAGCTAGTTTTGAAAAGGAAATCTGTATAGCAGGATTCTTAGCCTGGAGTCCATGCCCATGGATGGCTTTATGGGATTCACAGATGTCCTGAAGTTATCCACAGAATGTAGGAAGAATATGTGTTCTTCTGAGGACACAGGTCAAAGTTATCACATTTTCAAAGGGATTTGTTACCCATAAAAGGTTAAAAACTACTGGAGTTTATATAGCATGATTTGATTTTTGTATTAGAAAAAGTAACTGAGGAATATAATGGGGAAAAAAGCTGGAAGGTCCTCACCCAAATATTAAAGAGTATTTTTTTCCCAGATGGTAGGCTGAGAGGTGATTATTTTTTCTTTTTGCTCATCTGCCTTTTCTACAAAATAGTCTATCTTGCTTGTATGATTAAAAAGAGAAAGAGGTTGATTTCTAGTTAAGTCACTTTCAAAAGGAAATCCCGGATAAATTTACTAAGTACTCGCAGCCTCAGTGTCCTTCTGCGGCAATGATAACTCAAGAGGTAATTGTTAGGGTAAGATGAGACAATTTATGCAAAGAGGCTTTCTGGGGAAGGGGGTAGGATGTCCGCAGTGCATTCAACAAATATTTACTGCTGTCTAGCCACAGGGGATCAAAAGGAAGTTCATTAAAAAAAAAAAAAACAAAAAACTTTTATAGGCGTGGCATGTAGAAGGAATGTTTTTAAATTTGGTGCTCGTCCTTCCAGCTTCCATCCTTTACTTAAATAGTTAAGAGTCCTGCGTGACTGTTTCCCAGACCAGCGGCTGAGCCTCCGTCCCAAGCCTCTCCCATGCTGTTCATAGTGCCGTGGGTATTTCACGGTGCAGACCGGAAAGGCTGGCGGCAGGAAGCGCGCAGGTGACGGGGTGGGGGAGGAGGGGACTGCTGGGCCCGCGTGACAGTCGCCCTGTCTCTCCCCCTCCCCGGCCGCAGACAGCGAGTTGGTGCTCCCGGACTGCCTGAGGCCGCGCTCCTTCACCGCCCTGAGGCGGCCGTCCCTGCGGCGCGACGCCGACGAGGCGCGCCTCTCCGTGAGCCTGTGCGACCTCAATGTGCCGGGAGCCGAGGGCGACGAGGCCGCGCCGGCCGCTGGCTGCCCCATCCCGCAGAACTCGCTCAACTCGCAGCACAGCCGCGCGCTGCCCGCGCAGCTCGACGGCGACCTGCGCTTCCACGCGCTGCGCGCCGGGGCGCACGTGCGGATCCTGGACGAGCAGACCGTGGCGCGCCTGGAGCACGGGCGCGACGAGCGCGCGCTCGTCTTCACCAGCAGGCCCGTGCGCGTGGCCGAAACCATCTTCATCAAGGTCACGCGCTCCGGCGGCGCGCGGCCCGGGGCGCTCTCCTTCGGCGTCACCACGTGCGACCCCGGCAAGCTGCGGCCCGCGGACCTGCCCTTCAGCCCCGAGGCCCTGGCGGACCGCAAGGAGTTCTGGGCCGTGTGCCGCGTGCCCGGGCCCCTGCACAGCGGCGACATCTTGGGCCTGGTGGTCAACGCCGACGGCGAGCTGCACCTCAGCCATAACGGCGCCGCGGCGGGCATGCAGCTGTGCGTGGACGCCACGCAGCCGCTCTGGATGCTCTTCGGCCTGCACGGAGCCGTCACGCAGATCCGCATCCTCGGTGAGTGCCTCCCCGGAGGGCCCCTCCGACAGCCCCAGCGACAGTGCCCTTTCCTGGAGGACAGGGCCCTTCCGGGGAAGGAGAAGGGGGAGAATCCACCGCGCCCCGCTGCCTCGCGCTGTCTTGCCACCAAGTCACAGGCACCGAAATGAGTTCTGGGCCGGACTCCATCCGCTGGACCTTGTCCTTCAGTCTCACCAGCCGCGTCCTGGGGGCGGGCAGAAAAGTGTGGATCTCTGAGTTTCACTCCCAGAATCTGATTAAGCCATGTCCCCACAGGTACATAAGTCACTGGCCACTTAAAAATGAGAAAAAAGGTTTCCACCAGCAGTTAACGTTCTGAGGCTCAGTTTCCATTTCTCCAAAATGGGAATTAAAGCCTCTGCCTCATAAGGGCGGCAGCATGTCTAGATAGGAAAGAGTTTGGTATGTCCGAAGCCAGGTGTTTGTGCCTTGTGGTGCCTGGGTTGGGAGCCTGTGGGGAATCCGAGCAGAGGGCCTTGGAGGAAATGGGGTTGCAGAGGTCTGGGCCATTATTTCTTGGGTTTGAATGAACAGAGTTTGAATGGACTGGTGGATGTGCACTTGTGAAAGTTGTTTCTGGTAGAGTTCTGTGAGGAAAAAGTTGGGGATTCTTTACTGCAGAACTTCTCAGAGCCTTTAGTATGCAGTGTGAATCTTTAATGAGGGGGGCGGTGGTGGTTATCAAGTACAGCTTTTTTTTTTCTTTTTAAGATTTTATGTATTTGAGAGTGAGAGAGACTGTGAGAGAGGGAACACAGGCAGGGGGAGTGGGTGAGGGAGAAGCAGGCTCCCCACTGAGCAGGGAGTCCAACGCAGGGCTCTATCCCAGGACCCCCGGTGTGATGACCTGCGCTGAAGGCAGATGCCCAACAGCTGAGCCACCCAGGTGCCCCAATGTACAGCTTTTTCTAAACTAATTTAACCAGAAATCTTTTTTTTCCTATAAAGCATCTCCAGGGACCTCTGTTTCCCCAGAATGTACAGGTATTCATGCTTTACAAGAGCTGGCCTCCTAACCAGCTGCGGAAGATTGGGCTAGTTCCATTAAATTCATTAGGAGGACCTGGTACAGATTTTTTAATCCCACCTGCAGAGATTTTGATTCTGTAGATGTTGGCTAAGTCCTGGGTATCTGAATTTTTTTTTTTTTTAAGATTTTAATTTTTAGAGAGGGGGAAAGAGAGAGAGAATCCCAAGTAGGCTCCTGATGCAGGGCTTGATCTCACGATCTCACGACACTGAGATTATGACCTGAGCTGAAATCAAGAGTCGAAGGCTTAACTGACTGAGCTACCCAGGCACCCCTCTGAATTCTTTAAATAGGTTTGCTTAGGCAAGTTTGGAGACCTCTGGGCTTCATAGCCCCATCCTAGGCCTCACCCCAGGAGGCTTTGTAGACAGGGTAATGTGTGTATGCAAGTGAATGTGTGTTATGCTCTAAGATTGGTATGTCTGTGTATAGGCACACGTGAGTAAATGTATGTGTATTTATGTGTGTAATGCTGTTGTTGGTGATTCTATGTTGGAGTTTGCGAAATCAGATAAAATATGTGGGGACTTCCTACTCTGGAAAAAGACCTAAATGAAGATGGAGTGAACAAAAAAATCCGAAAAGGAATTAAATGAGGCAAGATGCTAAGAAGTTATTATTGAGGGAAGATAAATCAGGAAGGAATGGAAAGAAATCAGGAAGGAAAGAAGTTGGGGTGAAAATTTAGAATGGGATAAAAAGAAATCAGACTGGGGTGCAGAAAAAAATCAGGCTGAGGTAAACAAAATAACAAAACTCCTTGGCTACACTCACTGGGAGACACTGCTCCTCAGATGAAGGGAATTGTGTAAGGGGAGGAGGGTACTATCCTGCCTCAGCACCATCTTAGATGAGTAGCTTTCTCCTGAGATTCCTGTTTCCCAGAGAGGCTTACTAGACACAGGAGGAGCTTAAAAAAAAAATCGGGACTTAAATGTCCTGAGAGGTAATTGGGCCAAGGTGGGTGTTTAAGAGTAATCATCCAGATACATGCTAAACCGTGTATGCCAAACAGAGTGCACCTGGGCTGTAAGAGAACTGGGCATCTGAGTCAGCAGATTGGTGTTTGGGGATCCTGTGGACTGCAAAGGAAAAACAAACCAGTGAATGTGAAGGGTAATTATTTACAGAGGAGTGCTGTGCTTCGTGAAAGGCCTAAATGAACTAAGAATGGAAGGATCTTTCCTTTACTCCAAAATGATCACTAAGTTTCATACTTAATGACAAAATATGAGAAACATTCTCATTAAAGTCAGGAATATGATAGGGGGATGCCTTACAGTGTTGTTCTGAAAATGCTAGCCAGTGCAATAAGGCAAGAAAACTAGGAGGTGTGAATTTCTGAAAGAAGAGGATAGTTAACTTGAAAACTATTAACGCCAGAGAAAACCCATGTGGCTATCTAATGCATATCCTTGGAAACAGTGACTATTGACTTAGAACACGTGATGATAAAAGGATCTCAGGGAGCATTTATGTGTAGGGCTGTATGTTAGATCCTTGGGAGAGTCACAGGTGAATATGATTTCCTGCTCTCAGGAAGCTCATCACCTGGGGAAACAAAGCTGCATACCTGGGCAAAGAACAAATAATACCTCAACTTTGTGATAGTTTAGTCCCATGTATGTGGTGTGTGTGCCCGGTCAGTGCTAAATAATGTGGTTTTTGGGGGTAGTCAAAGTTGCCCAGAGGAGGGGGTTTGAGGACAGTCCCAAGGGGCTCCCTGGACAGTTAGCTCTTTTGGGGCAAGGGCTCTGTCGGTCTTGTTCTCAGTGTTACGTTTACTCAGTGGATGGTGCCTGGTAGGTACCTGGTACCTTGTTGAAGGGAGGAGTGGCGGGGGTGAGGGGTAGGAAGAAAAGAGGGAGGTGAGGAGAGGAAGAGGGAGGGAAGGAAGGAAGGAGAGAATGTGGCACAGAATGAGCTTGGGAGATGCTGAAGGGCATCCGAAAGGTGCCATTGTAGTTGAGACGGTGGGTGATACCCAAGGGGAAGTGACAGAGGGAGCACGGGGCTTGGACCCAGAGGGTCAGGCTAGGACTGGAAGGGCCATGCCAGGCGGGAAGAGGGGGTCTTTCTTCACATGGGAAACCTCAAAGGTGAGGGTACGTAGGAAAGGTAGAGGTGGGATTCCAGGCAGGGGGCTCGTTTGGAGACTGCTGATGCAGTAACACCAGAGCATGAAGTGGCCTTCCAGTTTGTGGGTGGGAACCGACAGCTGGGGCTGGGCAGTGGGCCTCTTTCTGGAATCCCGCCCTGAGCCCGCCCAGTGGCCGGACTGTGTGGTGGTGCTGTGTCAGCACTTTCTCTCCTAGGACCCTCTAGGAGGGGCAGAGAGTCACGCTTTCCCCCAGTGGGCCCCTCAGTGGCTCATGCGTCCTTCCCTCCCCCTCTGCAGGCTCCACGATCTTGGCAGAGCGGGGCATCCCATCACTCTCCTGCTCCCCTGCCTCCACACCAACCTCTCCCAGCGCCCTGGGCAGCCGCCTCTCCGACCCCTTACTCAGCACGTGCAGCTCGGGACCGCTGGGGAGCTCTGCGGGCGGTAAGTAGGCTGGCCACTGCAGTTCCACGGTACCCCTGGTGGACCCCCACACCGAGACCCCCTGGCTGAGGCGGGAGTGTGGCCCCCGTGTCAGAGTTGAGTACTGGATGAGCTGGAGACACGCTTGGCGAACCTTTTTTGGATGGTGATTTCTTTTCTTTTTTTTTTTTTTTTCTTTTTAAAGATTTTATTTATTTATTTGAGAGAGAGACAGTGAGAGAGCATGAAAGGGGAGATCAGAGGGAGAAGCAGACCCCCCATGGAGCTGGGAGCCCGATGTGGGACTTGATCCTGGAACTCCGGGATCATGACCTGACCTGAAGGCAGTCACTTAACCAAGTGAGCCACCCAGGTGCCCGGGTGGTGATTTCTTGGGTGAATCCCACCCTGTCCCTCAGCTGGGCACCTTTCTCCAGAGCACTTTCTAGCACGCTGGGAAGAATAAAGGATAGCTCAGCGGGGGCCTTCCTTAAAACACTCTTGGTCCCCTCCCTTCCTCCACCCCTCTTCTCCTCTCACTGCCTCATGGGCACCCTGGCCCCTCATCAGGGGCCTCCCAGCGCCCAGGAAGTGGGTTGTCAGGGGAAACAGGCAGATGCTAATCGATGGAGAGACAAGAGACCGGGGGCTCTCTTCCCATGAGCCTGGGGCCAGACTGGACCATGTACATGCTGACTGGTGTCCCCTTGTCCCCAGGGACGGCCCCCAACTCTCCAGTGAGCCTGCCTGAATCTCCAGTGACCCCAGGCACAGGACAGTGGAGCGATGAGTGCACCATTTGCTATGAGCACGCCGTGGACACGGTCATCTACACGTGTGGCCACATGTGCCTCTGCTATGCCTGTGGCCTGCGCCTCAAAAAGGCCCTGCACGCCTGCTGCCCCATCTGCCGCCGCCCCATCAAGGACATTATCAAGACCTACCGCAGCTCCTAGCCCCATGTGGCGCCCCAGCCTGCACGCCTGCCTCCGCAGGCTTTGGCCCCACTCCAGCCAAGAGGCAAGCCCACAGGGCCCCTTCTCTTCTTCCGCATTTTGGAAACTCTTCCCTTCTTCATTAAACATGGGAAACTGAGGCCCTCAAAGTTTTGGGGAGAAAGGGAGTATCAGGCAGGGAGGTGAGGGGCAGAAACAAATTGCCCAGCAGAGAGGAGGGGAGGAGTCTGCTCTCTTCCTGTCTTTCCTTTCTCTGCACCCACTCTACCCTGCATGCCGAGGGGCTAAACGGGGGTCTCAGCCTCTCCTAATCCTTCCCCATCTGGGGCAGATTTCTAGGAAGTCCTCTAGTCCATGTAAGAATTAGAAAACATGTCCCTTCCTCTGGGCAGATGTGTCCCTGAGCTAGGGCCTTCGGAGTATGGCCTGGACGTCAGTCTCCATTTGTTCTCTCAGCCAGCTGTCCTTGAGCAGTGTACAACCTGCTTGACAGCAGCCCCAGGCAGGTAGCCCGAGCTGCTGCCTTACTCTCTGACCTGTACCCACCTTCTTCCTCTCTCCCTTGCCCCTCAGGCCTGATGGCCAGGGTACGGCCGGCAGATACCTCTCACCCTGGGCAGGCTGAAGCCCCTGTGCTATGCCCCTCTCCCACTCACCGAGGGTGGGTGGATGGACAGGCCTGGGTCTCTGACCTTGTGCCCTGGCTGAGATGCAGAAGGGCCCTTCCTGGACGTAGCCTTTCTGCCCCGGTCATCTCGTCAGATGCTGCCACCCAGGGACAGCTTCGCTGTAGGCTGGAGAGCAGCGTCCGTCTTCTGGAAGGTTCTCTAAGAGTAGGTTTGCTTTTGCCCTCTGAGACCTGTCCTCCCGGATCTCAGTGCTGTCCTGGGCCTGGCTGCTACTCAGCCTGTAGTATCCCCAGGTGAGGCCAGGACCCTGGAGTGGGGGTGGGGTACCCTGGGGGTAACACCAGCCTTTTTTCTTATTTTTATTTATTTATTTATTTGGTTTGTGGGTTGTTTTTTGGGGGGGTATGATTGAGTTGCCAATCCCCTGGGGCCCCTAGAAATGCTGCCCTGGTGTGCAGAGTGCCTGGCGAGAAAGGGCTGCAGAGGTAGCTCTCAGAATCTTCTCTAGGCTCCAGCCCCAAGTCCATAGCCATTTCTGCTTGCCATGAATTAGAACTCCATAAAAACAGGCTGAATTGGGAGGACTCCTGTCCAAGTGTGTCTATTTTACAGAGATAAACTGAGCTTCCTTAGTGTCCTAAGGCTGGTGGATCTCCCAGAGCCTCAAAGTGCCCTTCCTCTCTGGGCTGCAGCGGGGTCATCAGAGTTGGCTCAGCTACATCAGGAGGCCCAGGAGCTCCCCCTTCCACAAGGAGGTACGCAGTTCTGGCAAGGCTGAAGGAGGGGAGCCGAGCTTGGGTCAGGGAATGGGGCTGGGAGGGCCTGCTCGCAGTAGGGGTTGGGGAGTCTGTTTTTAGTAAGGCTCTTTACCCTCAGGAAAGATGAGGAGGGAAGGGGCCAGGTCCCGGCCCCTTTGGGTTATTTCTGGTTCTGGGGTGGCATGCCCCCCCCAACCCCTGCTCTTAGACTAGTTGTCCCACCTCACCAGCTCTACCCAATAGACCGTGGGCTGGCACCTGCTCCCACACTCTTGGCCTAGTTTCCCCCCAGCCTCCCAACCCTCTGCCCCCTCTGACGGCTTTTCATGCCCATCAGAGACCGCTGCTTCTGTGGCTGGCAGAGTGTGGGATTCGGATTCTAGACCTGGCCACTGGGCAGCGGGGTGGTCCTGGCCGAGTCAGAGTCCTCAGCCTCAGCAGGCACCTCTGTAAAATGATTGGGGAGGAGAGCAGACTTTCCGTGGGACTCTTGGGACTTCTTTGGTGAGGGGCTGCTGTGGGGTGTTAGGTGGGATAGCACTGGGGGGTCAGAACGCCAGCCTGGGCCTTTGACTGCCCCTGCCTTGCAGTGGGCCTCCAGGAAGTCATGGTTCCACTGTGGGTCTCCACTTCCCAGTCACTGACCCTGGAGACCCCCTCCATGGGAGTCGAGGGTGGGGTGGGCCAGGTGGTGGCCGTGTCCCACCAGGAGTCTCCTCTCAGAGGCAAGGGAAGGTCTTACGTGCAGGGGCTGTGTGGCCTGTGGTTTGGGGAGAGGAAGCCATCTGTGTCACTGTCTCTGTTAGTGCTGGGATAGTTGCTGCCTCCTTTGTGAATTTGGGTCGCTGTGATTGTGAATAAAGGTGATTTCGTACCAGCCTGAGGGCTGTGCTGTGCTGTGCTGTGTGGAGGGCTGGGGAGGAGGAACAGGATGGGGTTGGGGAGGAAGGGGAAGGGTCAGGTGTCAACAATCAGGGAAGACTCCACGGAGTGGGGGACAGGAGGATGACCTGGGGCTTGAACAGCAGGGGCCAGAATGCCAGGTAAGCCTTGTAAGTTGAAAGAGAGAGGCCACTGCCCTTTGGTGCCCTCAGATCCCTGGATCCGTGAGGAGCAGGAACAGAGTCCCTCAGGCCTTCTCAGCTCTGTTAAGGCTGAGGTGGGCCCAAACCTGGCCCTACACCCTTGTGGGGTGGCACTGCCACCTAGGGGCTAATGGAAGGATGACAAATCCATCACGCAGGTCAGGAGGGGCCAATACTTACGGGGTGACAGCAGCCTAGAAAAGGGAGGCCTCTGGCCCTGGACCTTTAGTGAAACTTTCTCGATGTATTGAGTATACCTGGTTGGCTGTAGAAGCTGGGAGTGGTGGAGCGGAACTAGGCACAGTGTGGTAATCTTGCTCCTCTGTTGGGGCTGGGACTCCAGTGCAGAGCATGCCTGCCTTCCTGTCGTCTCTCCTGGGATGATGCTCTGGTCCCTACATCAGGACAGCCCAGCCCTGTTTACTGGTGTCCAGCAAAAGCAGGGGAGCACCTGGGGCTCCAAGCTGAGGGGTCAGCCAGGTCTGCTGGATGTGGGTCTTTTGCCCCAAGGTCTGCATCCCTCTCTCTCAAAGCCTTGGCCACTGCCCAGAAGCTTCCTATAGGCAGGGAAGGGAAACATGAGCATGGCTGTCACCAACAAAAGTGGTAACTCACCTGCCTCCCCCCGCCCCTCCAGTGTCCTCAGAGGGGCCCAGGACCGTGCAGTTCACGCTGCGTTCTGGATGCAAAAGGTGGTTTTTGCCATGCAGCCGGATGGCTTTTCTGATGGCAGGGAGAATTAAGAGGTGATTCTATTCAGTTAAAAAGGCCAAAAACTTTATTTAGTTTTCAGGGAAATACAAGATGTAAACATAAACAAAATACAAAACAAAACAACCCAAATCTTACAGTCTAGAAGCATGCCAAGACAGAATATTTTCTGCAGACCAAAGAGTCCCGTCAACAGGATAAAGGACACCTGGAAAGTGGCAGGCCAAGGGGTTGCATCCCTTCCCCAAGGACACTGCATTCTTGTGATGAGAACAATTAAAAAAACAAAACAAAACCCACTATTAAAAATATTAGAAACATGGAGATAGTTTAGCACCACCATTGATCCTGGAAATGTTTTAGCACTCAAATAGACTGCGCTGAATTCACTGTCCTTACCTTCAGTTTCTCTGCTATGGGTAGAAGAGGGCACAGCCTCCTCTGGACCCCACAGAGCCCGCCCGGAGCTGCAAGGGGCTCAGTGGGCCCTGTGAAGGACTCCCCAAAGCCCTGGGGCCCCAGAGACACCCAACAGTTCACAGGCAACCACGCGCTCCCCAAACCACACTCCAGGGACCTGCCACTCACATCCTCCCTCAGAAGTCACCTTCCCACAGACCCCTCAGGAACAGTGAAACCCTTTTCCCAGACTGTATCCCGGGTTTCAAGAAAACCTGTTGCAGAGAACAAGTTGCAGATCCAAGAATGGTGGCTCTGTTTACCCTTCTCTCTCCTAAGTAGGTGCTTCCGGAGAGGTGGCCTGGTGACAGGCCATGGAAACTGAAAGGACCTGTCCATGCAGGAGTGTGTGTGGCCCCCTGTCTTCTGAGTCACACCTGCGCAGCCGGCTCAGCAGACCAAGTCACCGCAGGTATCAGGAGAGATACTCCAGAATGACTGGTGTCAACAGAAGAAAAAATGAGGCAACTTCCCTCCCAGACATGCTTGGGGGTCGTGGGTCATTACCGGACAACCCATTATGGTCAATGAGTTGTCCGATACTCTTGAACTCTAACCCATTATGGTCAATGTGTTGTCCAATACTCTTGAACTCTAACCAGTTCAAGCAATTTAAGAGGCTAGCTCTGGATTGGACAAAGGGATGTGGGCAAAACCTGCTGGTAACCTGGGAGATGGAGGAATGTTCTGGAGCCAGAGCCTCCAGACTCAAAGACTGGTTTGTTGCTAGCAAGTTCTCATCTCCACTAAGTAAATGAGACGGAGGAATGTTCTGGAGCCAGAGCCTCCAGACTCAAAGACTGGTTTGTTGCTAGCAAGTTCCCATCCCCACTAAGTAAATGAGTGACCCAGGTTGTAGCCCAGCAAGTAGCTATCTCCTCAGGTTGTCTGATTCTGTGGCCAAATCTTAGGGCTTTTTCAACCTGCTCTGACTGGACCCTTGGGGGCTGAATCAGTAAATTCCCTCTGTACCTGTTGTCTTTCTCCTGAAACACTCAGAACTGACTACTTCCTTCTTTTGAATAAAGACCAAACTCCAGACTCCAAACCCTCTCTCAGCCTTCTCACACTTTTCCCTTTCTGCCTAGAAGACATCCTCTTCTGGAAGCCACCTTCCCAGAGAAGGGACGGTAAGCCCCAGCCACTCCAAACATGCACACACTCCTCACTCCAACGTGCCTCTCGCTTGCCTCCAACGTGCTCGAGCCTTCCTTCTGCCTTCAAACAATTCTCTTACACGCTCTCTCCCCATTCCTCTCGCCTCCTGAGGTCCAGCCCTTAGCCAGGGTGGAGCTGGGAACAAAGGAGGGACCTTCACTTCAGAAACCCACTCTCTAAGGCCACTAAGTTCTAGGACTAGGATGGGAGAGGGGGCTGATTGTCAAGGTCAAGTGCAAACCCAAGATTAAAAAGATAGGATGGGGAAAGGAGATCGCATGATAACACCAACCTTACAGGCAGGTTTGGATCAAGGCCTTAGAATGTAGAGCCCTCTACTTGGTCTGCGAGCACCAGTGAGCCCAGCTTCTGGCTGTGGATCTAGGTGCGCAGGACAAAACAAGAGGAAAGCAAAAATCAATGAGGCTGCTTTTCCTGAAAGAAGGCTGTAGGTCAGTAACCCCATCCTGTCACTGTCTCTGGTTGCAGAACTTGAGAACCACTGAGGCTGCCTCAAATAGGGATCATGATTTAGGCCAAAAGCTCCGTTGGGTCAAGGGAAAGCACCCCACACTGCTCCCGTGACATGCTCAGCTGGGCCGTGCAGTCTGGTGTACTGACCTCACCTTGAGCACGTTCTCGCCCCCAGCAGCCTGACCACCCTCAGAAACAGGAACCGAGGGCCTCCCGCAGCGATGACAAGCATGGCGGCAGCGGACGGGCTCAGCCTGCCGGATAGCACGTCTGGAGGTGGCGGCCCTCTTCAACCATCTCAGCGCATCCACACCCAGTGACTTCTCTCTTCCACAGCTTCATTTTGGAGCCCGGGATGATGGCCTAGGCTGCTTCTGCTAGATCTGTTAATGCCAGTGTGAAGTTTCCAACGAAATAATAAAATAATTACAAAAAAAAAAAAAAAAGACACATTGCACTCTCCAGCCAAAATTACGTGTGAATAATAACTTGCTGCCAGAAACTGCGAGTCCCATGGGGCCTGCCCAATGCCAAGGACTTAGAAAATGGAGACAGCTTGCCCGGTATTTGTGCTCTAACCCCGTGTTATTTAGTTCAAGTGGGAAATTATCAACACACACACACACACACACAGACTCTCTCTCTCTCTCTCAACACACAGCCCTCAAAAAAATGAGGGAATCTTAATTCTTTAGCAATGTGGATGATTCTCTTTCCAGAGAGCTCTGCATCGAGATTCTCAAAGTTGGGACATATAGATGTATATACTCCAAGGAGAGACACCCACACACGGGGGCACGGCCCCCCTCTGGGCACACAGATCCACGTTTGTACAGAAATTCACCAAACCGAGGGGTTGGAGCAGCAAGCATACAGTACTGGAGATGGAGGGCACAAGCCAGCAAGGACGTCCCTGGAGCCCAGAAGGGCAGAGCTCCAAGGGCTTGGACCCAGAGACTTCCCATCCTGCTGCTTTCTCGACCTGCGCCAAGTGAGGAGGAGGGCGGCCTGGTGGCTGCTGGGGTAAGCTGTCTGCAAAGACCTGAGTAGGCCCCTCAGACGCTTCCCTAAGGCCCTCTGGGAACTGTCAGGGTGTTAAGCAAGAGGCAGGGCTCCCTCCTCAGGCTGAAGTCATTGAGATGAATGGGGGGCCCAAGCTTAGCACCAGGCCTAGCCGCAGGCTTGTGGGAATCGGTGTCTCACTGGGGTCTGTAGGGCTCAAGGCACCCACATCCCCGAAAAAGGATTTGGTTACATCTAGGGTTCCTGCCCATAAACCAAACTGAGGTTACATAGTTTTAAAAAGACTCAAACATACATCAAAAGTATCATGGCCCACACATCAGAAGACTGGGGTGAGACAGGGCTGCTGGGAGTGATTTTTAAGACCGGTCTTTCTGGGCAGCCAGCTGAAAAGCAATGGAAAATGAAAACAAAGAACTGTTCCTGGAGTCCTTTGCTCTGCTCCAAGGGCCAGAGCCCCGGGAGGTCAAGAGCCCCGAGCCACATCCCTGAATCCCTCCTAGGTGGAGAACACCCAACAGAAAAAGGGGCTGCCCTCTGCCAACTTGCGGGGGGCATAGAGGAGGGGTAAGAGATCAACACCCAGAAGGTCACCTGTCTGCTCCACAGCCCCACGTCCTTCTACGGACACACCGGGCCACTGAGCTCCCACCACCGTCCCAACAAGCCCTGGCAGTCCCCGGTAATATTGCACTTTTCTTGCCTCCCAGATTGTTTTCATTTTTGGTTGAGAATGCAAAGTATTCGGAGGGGTAGGGGAGGTGAGTAACCTTAAAGAAGTAATATATTAGTTAAATACAAAAAAAAAAAAAAAAAGGAAAAGTAGGGGCTACTTTATCTTTTTCTTTTTTTCCTTAAACTACCAAACCAAGGTCTAAACTTAAATAGTTCTACGCCTACTCTGCAAATACTAGTAATATGAAAATAACACTCGACCGAAATTCCCTTGTCTTTCTTCCTTAGACGATAAAAGTAGTAACATGCCTTGCTGAGGAAAGCGATGGATATAAATACCAGTAAAATATGCTGCTCTAACATCTGAAAGTGATTAAAACGATTCTATATAATGCCTTCGTCAAGATGGAGAATTGAGAGTAAGAAAGAGAAGCCTCTGGGGCCAGGCCGGGGTGGAGGGCTGAGCCACAGCCAGGGGCAGACAGCACGCTCACCTCCGGGGCTGCCCCTTCCAGTCCCTCCTGCCGCCCCCCGGGGACCCCCGGCCCAGTGGGAACAGCTGTGGCAGGGCCAGGGACCCTGGCCAGGCCCGCTGCTTCAAAGTGGGAGAGAGATGAAGACATTTTCCCCCCCTTATAATGAAAGAAAAGGGTCTTTAAACTGAAAGAAAAAGCACCAAACGCTGCATCTTCAGGCATTATATAAAGCTCAGTAATGACCTCAGAAGGGCTCATTATGATTAAAGTTGCAGTATACAGCAATACAATGCCATCTCACATTTTCAATCACAACTAATGGGAAACTAGGTTTGGACACTGCTGAGATTTCATTTTTCTTTTTCCTTTTTTAGTCTGATCTGGTTTTCCTCCAGATGGGTCAGAGCCGCAGGCCCCTCCCTCCTCCACCTGCTGCTGGTGGGACCCTCCAACATCACAAAGCAGCCCCTGGGTGGGGCTGGGAGTCCAGGGGCATGAGGCCTGGCGCCCACTGGCTGTGTTCGAGAGGGACTGGCATGCACCCTTCTTGCTTCAAGTATTCATATTTTCTTTGGGTTTGCAGGATTTGTGCTGTGTTGTGAGCCAGGGGATGATGGTGGTGGTGGGAGTGAGGTGTGAAGATGGGGCATGGCAATCCCTTTCCACTGCCCAAAATCTACATGCTGTCACCAGGTGGCAGCATTCCCCACTTCTCCTAGATGACCGAGCAACTCCCAGCCACCCTTGGGGGGCTGGATGTCACCATGTAAACATGCTGACCACACAGTAAACTACAACGGGCCTGGGAAGGAGTGCGAGGATGGATGCGGTGGGGTGCTCTGCCTTAACTAGCTCCATGATTTCGGGAAAGTAATTTCCTGTTCTTGGGCTGCAGTAGCAGGAGGGGATGGGATGGAGTGACTGTCAAGGTCACTTTTAAGGACCACTGCTTAGAGTACTGGGGATCGAGGAGAGAGGGGAGCTCAGAGAATGTGGGCCTCATGGGTGCTGGAGAGCCCCACGGGGCAGCGCAGTGAGGAAGGGCAGGGAAAGGCAGGCTCTGGGGAACACTGTGGTCCAGTCCCAACTGAGATGCTCTGTGCTTGGCAGATGTGTCCTGCTCCTCCCCTGGCCTGGCTGAACTGGCTCAGTGGAGGAGCCAGGCCGCGGGGGCCCTCCCCCTGGAAGACGGCTACGCGGAAGGTCCTATCACCCAACAGTCACTCTACTTTTAAATTTTATTTTAAATAATCATAAATTACTTCTTCTTTTAATAAATATGTGCTGCTTAAAAATGAGAAAAGTATATACTGCATCTTTAAGGAATGCACTTTGCTCTCTGGGTTTCTTCCCGTTCCACCTCAGTAAAGTGCATTAATTAACAAATAATGAACCACTTCTTTATCATTATTGTTCAAATAAGTCCAAATAATATTAATAGGAAGACACTACACCACTACCATTAGTACTGCAACCTAGCAGATTAATTCAGTATCCTGCTCTATTTAATACTGTCCAGCAGAAGAAAAGAACTAATTTCAATTTTAAACAAACTCACAAAGCAAAAGGAAACCAAATCTCACCACGGCCCTTCAACAAAGAACAGGCACGGTTTGCTGTAGCTGCCAGGCATCAGTGTACGGCGAGGGAGGAGGGCTAGGGAGGTCCCCAGGCGAGGCCTCCAGGGGCAGGGGGCTGGGTAGGGTACTGAAGGCACAGAACACGAGGTCCCATGCTGACCTTCAGGCAACATACACTGCCTGGGTGGGGAGCAGGGGGAGAGGGAGGGCCTTTCCTCCGTAGAAAACACCAACCCTTCGTCCGGGCCTCTGGCAGCTGAGCCAGTGGCCGCGAAGCCCGATCAGTCCACAAGCAAAGGCACGTGTGGAATTCCACTCCCAGCAAAGGGGGAGTCCTTGAGGGAAGCCGAGGCTTCCAGAGGGTCCCCTCCAAAACGTCAACGACTGAAAGAAACAACCCACAGTTGACAGGGACTTTATTCTCTCCTCTTTTCACGGGGGGCACTGCCCCTTGGGGAGACTGGGTCGGCTCCCAGCCTGGGGGTCCTCCATCTTTTCGGGTACCTGTGGCATTGTGTGTGTGTGGGGGGGTGGCTGGCGGTGGCCGCCCAGTTGGGGCCCCCCTCAGCCCTCAGTGGGGGTGCTGGGTGCTGCTCCACAGTTCACACGGAAGGGTTTTGGTCCTGCCCAGGCGGGAGAATGGACACAGAAGGATGGTCCTCCAGCAGCTTGAGAGCTGCCTTCTCTCCTGCACGTGCCCCCTCCCCTCTCCTGGGGGGAGTCGTCTGCACGGGGCACGTCTGCCGCGTCAGGGAGTTGGGCCTTCCGCGCCCACGCCCTCTGGCAAGCGCCATGCTCGGGTTCTGTCCGCAACAGTGGAAACCAAATGAAAGGACTTTGGCTTGTGGAGGGAGAGAAAGTGAAACGCAAACAAAACCAACAACCTCCCGGCAAGAGCACAACAGAAAAGCCACATCTGGTCCTCGTCCTGTCCCCCATAAGGCTGACCGCCCTTGGGCCCCCGAACAACCCCTAAAATAAGACCAAAACCCAAGGGCTGACATAGAAGCCCCGAATCAATAAACCTCTCCCAAAACATGCAAAAGAACTGCCCACCCAGAAACACCCAAAATAAAGTCTGTGCAGACGGTGTAGAGACTGACGGCTTTGCCCACCCTCTCTGGGAACTCTGGGGCTGCTGGTCCAACACGGACGGGGTGCCCCAGGCAAGGTGCACCCCCTTCTCAAGGCCAGGAACAGTGATGGGTAAGCAAGGTGGTCCTTGCTGGCACCTGCGGAACCGACATACACTGACAGGTGGCTTGGCCCAGGGATAGGCTGAGCTCCCAGGAGACACCTTTAAGCCACAGTGCCACCCGCGGTGGGTGGTGGCAGTCCTGGCGAAACCAGCATAATTCACTAATACAGGTTTAGGACGATCCGAGGACGACCTCCAGCGGCGAGGTGCTAGCCACAGAAACCAGGCTGGGGGTGGGGGGCAGGGGCAGGCCCCGGAGGCCCACTCCAGATCCGCAGCCAAGGCACAATTAGAGTTTCCCACTGGGCCTGTCCCAAATGCCGCTGGGTCCGTCGGCCAAGTCACTGAGGTGCCCACAGGGGGTTCAGCTTTCTCGCCTCTGGTCCCAGGGCTGGTGCACCCGTGCCCGCTGGCTTCCCTGCTCCGTGCCGGTTCCCGCCAGACCTTGCCTGCCAGCCGGGGGAGGGGGGGGGACAGCCCGGAAGGGAGCATGGCAGAGCTCACGCATTCTGCAGGGTTTAACGTCCTCCCCCACCCCCTCCCACTTTCCCTTTCCCCTTTGTCTTCATCCCGCCACTCATCCACACCCAGGCTGGATGGACCCCTGCCCACCCCCCACCATTAGTTCTTTTTCTCCAGGTAGTTGGAGGGCACCCAGCCTTTGAAGGGCTTTGCCCCATCCAGGATCTGGCAGTACCACCAGCCGTTGGGGTTCCTCTCCAGGACCTCCATGGACACACCCTCCTGGAAGCCCGCCGTCTCCTCATCCCCCTCATAGTCCGCGATGGAGACATATACGTCTTTGAGGTTGTTGTGGATGAAGTGGGACTTCTCGATGGGCTTGGGGCGCACAGGGGACACGGGGATGCCGTGGCGCTGGCCGGGCAGCAGGGGCGTGTCCGAGCCCTGGCTGGCAGCCCGTTCGGGCAGGCGGGCCTTGGCCTCTGCAGCGGCCGAGCGTGCGGTGCTGAAGGAGGAGTTCCGGCGGACTCCTCGGAGCCCGTCGGTGGCCGTGAGCGACTCATTCCTCCGCAGGGCACAGGACAGGTTATTGTCCTTGGGGGGCGGGGACACGAACACCGACTGAGGCCTCACAGCCACCTGCCGCACACCGTTCCTCAGCTTCACGGCGCTGGCAGCGGAGGTCTTGCTGAACCCCCCGGGGGGCTTGGAGGGGACGGGCGGCGTCGCCCTCTTGTTCTGGTTGACGGTGTTCAACGCTTGGACCCGCTTCTCGATCTTCTCCAGGCTGTCGGACTTGCCCTCGTGCTGCTTGTTTTTGGGGCCTACCGTGTCTGGCTCTTTGCCAGCGGGGTCGGGCTGCTCGTTCTCGCCGAGCACCAGATAGTGGGAAGGGGCCCAGCCCTCCAGCTCCCCAAACCTCACGTACCACCAGCCGCTTTCCAGCTTCTCGAGCACCTGGACCTCCACGCCTGCGGGGAAGCTGATCTCCGAGTCCTGGACTTTCTGGTAGGCACTACACGTTGTGTAGGAGGTGGCCTGCCCTTCCGGTCCCTTCTTGGTGGGACACGGGGGTGTGGCGGCTGGGGGGGTAATGAGGTCAGCAGAGCCTCTTCGGGAGCCCTCACTGGGACCTTCAAAAGCCGTCTGGGGGGGCAGCTCTGAATCCTCGCTCTTTGAGCCCTTGAGACCACCGCGGAGCTGGCCCGTAGGCCTCAGCTGACGCCGTAAAGTGCTGATGTCCATCTTCTCCTGACTCTGGGACTCTGCTCGGTTCAGGAACGGCTTGGGCCGGACTGACGGCTTGGCCCGGGCACACGAGGTCAGCCCCGCCTTCAGGTCGGCATCCCGCTTTGGCCCGACTGGGGGGGTGCCACGGATGCCTGCGTCCGAGGCGGAACGGGGCTTCAGGTCCCCGCTGTTCTTGGACAAGGAGGAGGAAGAGGAGGAGGAGGAACAGGTGGTGTTGATGGTGATGGAGGAGGAGAAGGAGGCCGAGGAGTGGTTCTTCCCTAGCTCCGCCTGGGCATTCTTCTCCGCCTTGAGCTTCAGGAGGGAGGACGACTTGGGGGAGCCCGATCTGGGGGAGTTTTTCCTGGCCAGGGATAGAGGGGAGCCCCCCGGGGACTGGCTGTCCCGGGAGGAGCGTCTGGCTGACAGGGCGTCCTCCGCACACGGCCGGAAGCCTTCGTTCTCGTAGATGGTCTCCTCCTCTGGCGCCACGTCCTCTGAAGAGCCGCCCACCCGAAAGCGGGCCCGCTGCAGCGAGGAGGCAGGTGAGGGCCTGTGGGCCTGGCTGGGCCGCCTGTCTCCTGAGCCACTGTCCTCCGTGGGCTCCTCGCTCAGCTCTGGCTCTGAGTCGAAGCCAAAGGCGGGGATGTCATACTCGGGCTCCTCATACTTGAGCTTCAGTGGGGAGTCCTGGCTCTCCACAGAGCCTGCAGGGCCCTCCTCAGCCTCCTTGGGCTTGCTGGGGGGCGCAGGGGGGGGTACCTTGGGCCTGGTCAGCGTGCTGGTCCGGCGGCTCAGGTTGGGCTTCTTGCGCTTGTCGATGTACGATGCGGGGGCCCAGCCCTCCTTCTCACCGATCTGCACGTACCACCAGCCGCCAGAGTTCTTATCGATGACCTGGGGGAGGGCAGAGCAGACCAGTGAGCCAGGACGATTGCTGGGCCCTACAGTGTGCCAGGCTAGGACGCAGGGTCTCCATTTCACAGCTGAGCCAAGTGAGCTGCTGAGTAAATGACCCAGGGTAATACGTGCTGGGCTGGAATTCAAACCCAGGTCCCTATCACCTCCTTCCACTGCCCCAGACCCTCTCCCTTGGTCCTCCAAGTCTCCATCACCACCCCTTTTCTCCCTAGACTATGTACTTAGAGAACCTTCCGCTTCTGGTCCCTACAGAATCCAACTCGCAAGGCTCCATAGGTACAAAAAAAATGCTTTCCACTGCTCCTCATCCTACCCCCAATATTGCTAGGTCCTCCGTTGGTAAGCATAGAAAAGGTGTCTCAGGTCAGAAGAGAATGGGAAGATGCAGGTGAGCTGAACTGGGAAGTAGGGCCTGTGCCCAGAGCCACCCTGCACAGCTCCTCCCTGCTGTCCCTATTGCCTGTGGTCATTTCACTGCATGTGGGATCCCAATAAAATCCCACTGGCTGGAAGGATTTCTTTGGGTTAAATGATTTCCTGTGGGAGGGATGAGGGTCTTTTAGTCATTTCCATATTAGTATAAACTAGTTCAAGGAGCTTCTTTATTAACTATAATTTGAGATCAGCTAAAGGTCAGGAGTGTGATGCTGGTTGTGGTGCTGCATTTGGACTGGGGAACATAAAGGGAAGATAATTTTGGGCTGTGGGACACTCTTGGAGAAAGACGTATTTGGGGGTCGGTGGGGGAGCATGAAAAACTGGCACCAGGACAAGAGGAGCAGGGAAGGGAGAGAGAGAGAGACTGCCGAAGGCAAGCTCTACTTGAGATCAGCTCCCTGTAGCCCCACCAGAGAGGAAAGACTTTTCTCTTTCCTTTGGTTCTATAGTCCTTCCTTTGCCCTGCCCACCCCATACTTAAAATTTAAGTTTGTTAGATCTCAAGTATGATAGTTTGGTTAGATGGTGAGCTTTGGAGGCTCTCCTGGAAACCTAGGCACCACTGACAGAATGACTTCTGCACATTCCAAATTCAGTTCCAAATTCAAGACATGTGATTGAAAACATTCACACCAGGGACACCATCCCCACAGGTGGAGGCCGCCCAAGGGCTCTTTGGACAGCGGCGGGGCGGGAGGGGGCGTCTTAATTGGATTTAACTGCATTATTACACAGAGCCACTCCAGAGAACTGACCCACATCACAGATCTCTGCCCCCTGCAAGGGCCACAAAGCAGAAGCTCCTAAATGCCAGGCTGGGGGTTGGGGGAGCACCACAGGGTCTGTTACCACACTGGCAGAGACAAGTAATCAAAGCCCGGGGAGAGAAGTGACCGTATCAAAGGCCAGAAGTGCCTGCGGTGTGGACGTAGCCAGAACCCAGGTCCTTAGTACTTTGGCTGCGTGGACCACAGTCTCCCAACAGCAGTACTTGCTAATGGGAGTTCTTCAGAATCTTGGCCCCCAAGGTGCTTCTAGGAGACAAAGTGTGCTGGGGCCCAGTGGGTCTGGGCAATGTTGCTATTCTAGTCCCCTCCTCTTAGAGATGCACAGTGACATCCCTACAGCATAGGCTCTGACAAGTTCTGCAGTGAAAACCATACAACTGGGTAGATTTTGTGTAACCCACTGTCCTTCAAACCTACTCAGCCACAGAAGCCCCTCGTGCCCAGGTGCCTCCATGACCAGTGCCCACCCACCAGCTTTGGGAAATGCTGCTGTGAGGGCAGCACTGGGTGGAGACAGGAGTCCTGGAGTCTGGCCCTGACCATGGCACAGAATAGCTTAAGGCCAATTTTTATCCCCACGGTCTTGCTTTTGTATCTTTCCTGCCCCCCACCCTCCCGCCACGTTGCCAGGCAGGCATAAATGGGAACCACAGCAGGTCTTTGAGTGGCTTGACTTAAAACCCTCAGACTCACCTCCGCCTTCTGCCCGCCCCGAAAGCTGATGCCATCAGAGATGCACGACTGGAATTCGGCAATGGTGTAATACTCCACCTCAACAGAAGGGGGCTCTGGCGGCTTCGGCAGCTGGAACCCCTAAGGCAGGGAAGGGCTCAGTGAGCAAAAGCCACCTGATCAGAAGGGCAGTAGAGGCCAAATGTGGTGTGTCCAACCAGGCATAGGAACTCGGGCCTGAGAAAGGATCTGTCACCTGAGGCTCAGGCCGTATCCCCCCAGGAGATTGTTCTCCTGAGCAGGCTTTCCACTAATATCAATGATTCACTTGAAACTCCTCAGAGCTTCGAAATGATCAGTTAGTAACAGTAATTTCTACCCCGACATCTCTGAGGTCCAGATAGATGCTTCAATGGCCAGGTCCCCATAGTAAAATTAAAAATCAGAGAAGCCATTGTAACAAAGCCTGTGCCAAGTGCCCTGTGGGAGGAGAGCCACATCCTTAGATGGAGGAGAAGGGCTGCAGGGGTGACATCTGCCACCTCTTTGGAGATGGGGGAGGGGTGTAAGGGGGCGTGGAGACAGAGACCGGTGAGGAAAGCCCATAGTGGGCCATTGCGATGATGCCAAATGGCCAGGCAAGCACTGACTAAAACTGACCCTCTGTTCTGTGGGTAGGTTAGAATGTGCTGGATTGGTAACACTGATCCCAAGCATGACGGTCAACGACATTCAGAATTTGGCTGCGGCCATGACTTCTGAGCCTTGTTCATTTACTTTACGAACATCTTTTGTGCATCTTCTGGGTGCCAGACATTGGTCCAGGGCACTGAGCATTTAACAGTGAACCACGAGGACTGCCCTCTTGTCCCCATGAAGCAGACACCCCAGTTTCATCTGGTCTCTGCTCTCATCAAAACGGATTTCATGCCGCCCCATTACTTTCGGTAGGTCCCAGTATCATACAAAGGGATTAAAGCAAAACAAACAAAAAGTGTGGGGGGAGGGGGAGCAGGAAGGGAGAGGGAAGCAGCTGTGGTGTAACAGGAAGACCTCAAAAGACCTTGGCCTTACAGCTGGACACATGTGGGCTCCCATCCCAGCTCGGCAACACACCAGTTGTGTGGCCTTGGGCAAAGCCTGTGACCTCTCTGAGTCTCAATTTCCTTGTCTGTGAAATGGGTCATGAAGAGGAGTACTGAGCTATATACATAACTTCTGGTCCAGCCAAGGACACAGGAAGAGCTCCACAAATAGAAGCCAGAGCTGACCATTCCTTCTACAACACCATCCTATGGCTTGGAACCTTCTGCATCCTCACCACTTGGCCTATCCAAACCCTGCCAGTCACAGCCCAGCTGCCCTGGGTCATAGTGAGTGAAGGGCGGGAGAGAGCTGGTCTGAGGGACCAGGTGCAGTTCAGGCACTTGCCCTGCCCTGGTGTCGGGCCCTGCAGGCATGTGAGAAAATGGGTATGGCTCAGGCCCCGGCCCAGCCCTGACCCCCGCCAGGTGGGGGTTCAGCCGCGTCTGGCTGGGAACAGCAGCTGCGTCTGGCTGGGAACAGCAGCCCTGTGGCCACAAGCCCCACATCAGGTCCGTGTGGAAGGAATGACCCCATTCTTGCCAAAATCGAGTCTGCCTGAAAATAATTTGCTGGAGCTGAGAGAGATGGGAGGACAGGAGAAAGCACCATTTAGTCATGGAAAACTCGAGGGGACCATGACATAGGAGCTTCCCTGGGGCTTCTGGCTAGGGCAGGGGTGGTCCCATTCCCATGGGACTAATCCTCAAAACCCACTTACTGATGACCCACTCTTCCAGAGAGCACCGCTCTCCCCTCTCCAGGGCAGAGATCACGATCATGGGGACCCTTGCCACTAAGCCCAGCAAGACTTCCGAGACCTTTCTCCACATGGTGTGGCAGGCAGTCCCTCTGAATGCTGACACGGGAAACAGAAACCCTCACACACCACCCCACTTCCTACTTCCCGCAGCCCTAGGCGATGGCTGCCACCGTCCCCATCACAGAGATGAGGAAATTAAGCTTCGCAGAAGGTAATGGACTTGCCTTGGGTCTCACTGTTCCCAAGTGTCAGAAGTGGACTATGAATCCACGCCCGGCAGGCTTGAAGCCCCTCTTTCCACTGCACCCCACTGCCCCCGAAGAGAGTTCTCTGCTAGAGCTCCCAGCCGGCTCAGCATCACCGCCACCTAAGCCCAGGACCCCAAGTATATATATCTGCTTCCCTGATGTCTGGACCCCGGGACCCCCACCTCCAGGAGCCAGGGACCCCAGCAAGTTGAGCCTCTCACTTTCAGCACACGCGAGTCCTGGCTATGTACCCCAACCAGAGGGCGCTCACTGGGCTGCCTTCCTCCTCCCCGACTCCGGCATCCACCGCAGCCATTGGCTACTACTGGGCCAGGAAGGCGGAACCGAAAGGCTTCCAGGCGCACATGGACAGCTGCCCCGTTTCCAGCCCCTGGCAGTGCCCTGGCCGGTCACTCCCGCTGGCCAGTCTAAATGTTTATGTCTGCCAGTGTAGTGGCTGGGATGGACTGACTTAGCTTTGGAGCACAGCGTGTTTCTGAATATAAACTGTCCAGCGAGGGCCCTGGGATGGCTGAGATCCCCAGGCTTTCCTCTCTGCCCCTGGCCCCACAAAGCTGGCAGCCCAGTAGGGCTCTGGAAAACCCCTGGACTGATGGGCACTGAAATGAGACCATCAATGAACTGGAGCCGACACAGTGCACCCCCGGAGGCGGCGAGAAAACAGGAGAAATTCAGTGCACGCACCAGGCTGGATTCTCTGCGAGGCGGAGGCCTTGTCCTTAGGTTCGGGGAGCCTAGAACAAGAAACATGGCTTCAGAAAGCCCAGCCAGATGATGGGCAACAAACCGTGCTGGACCCTGCCTTCCCTAGGTGCAGTGCCCCCCGCCCCCAATCCTGGGAAGTTTCTGGTTCTGTCCCACTGGCTGGAAGAACCTGTGCTCTCAGGCACTACAGTTTCTTCACCAGGAAACCATGGATCTTTAAGCTTCCTTGGCTGGGTTTCCCCTGACACCCAGGGGATCCACGAACCCTCTAAAATGATGTGCATGTTTCAAAATGTAGAGACACAGCAGCATTTTTCAGGGGAAAGGGTAAGTAGCTCCATCAGATTTTCAAAGTCAGGAGCAGAAATTGTGTCTGTTTTTCACTCACTGCCAAGTCCTTAGAAGCTGGCACGGTGCCAGGCAAGAGTGGGTGCCCCAGAAACACTTCCCAACTGACTGTCCAAAAGGTTTCAAGCACAAGAGCTCACTTAAAACCACGTTCAGAACTTAACCGAAAAACAGCCTTCCTCCAGATTTTGAGGATGGCTGGACATAAAGAGAAGCTGGTCTCTTATAATGTAGGACAGTTTAACCTTGAACTGAAGATGCCGTTGAGCCAGAGAAGGGCAGAGATTGTGAGGGGGCCAGACAGCTGGGTTTCTTAAGGACGGGGGATTGTCCTGAAGACTGCCCTCTCGGACTGCTCAGAGAGAGGTAAACCATTCCTTCCAAGTCTCTTAGGCTTCCAGTAACTGGCAGGAGGTGACAGGGTAGGAGGGAAGGAGGGCTAAGGCCGGGAAAGAGGTTCTACTGGCTGTCAGTCTGTCAAGCAGCCTTGCGCAGGGTGCAGGCCTATTTCCCAGCCTAGGGGATACCCTGGTCTGTAAGGTGACCACTCCTGACTCTCTCCTAGGGAAGGAGGGGCCACCACCAGCTCATGTACCCCTATAACTGACCTTCAGTGCAAGGGTCATGAGGAATGGCTTTGTCTGCTCATGATCAGCATGAAACAAGCCCACAGAGTGAGGCTAGGGTCAGGGTCAGTCTAGATCTCAGGAGGAAAATGGGATGGGGGTCTCTGCACCCTGTGACCACTTTCTAAAAGAGCTGCGTGGGGAGGCCATGGGGGCCAGGGAGGCTCTTACTGATCTGGGCCCTCTGAGGGGCAATCCTGGCCACGGCTGGCGAGCCCTGGGCCAGCTTGGAGACGCTCCTCTCAGGGACGCCCAGGGCGCTGCCATTGGAAGCATTACAGAGGATGGGCAGGCTGATCTCCTTCTTGGTGATGGGGGCCTCAGGACCCTCGCCTTCGGCCGGCGGAGTCTCCTTATCCCCTGACGCCTTCTTGTTCAGCAGGTTGCTGATCTCCATGATGTTCCCGATGATCTCCACTGGGCCTGCTAGGTTTTTCTTGCGTGCGGGCAGGTCGTCCTTGGCCTTCTTCAGATAAGAGGCTGGCGCCCAGCCCTCTTTGCCCAGGTACCTGTGGGGAGGGGTGGGACATGGCATCTCCTGAGCACTGCTGCCTGACCTCACACCCCAGGCTCCATCTGGCTCAGCCCAGCTGAGCTTTTTGTATCGTGTTCCCCGAGACACCTGGCAATGCCACTACTCTGGAGGGAAGCAGAACTGAGGGCAGGTGGCAAGGACACATAGAAGACCAGTTCTTCCTCTCTGCCTCCTTGCTCTCTGCCTGATCTTTCTCAGTGTGGGTTCTCATGCTCTGCAAAGTCAAGCAAACATAGGACCTCAGGATCAGAAGACTCCTCGGATTCTGAGCTGCCCCAAAGGTAGACTTCACCGTGGCCTGCTACCTCACAGCAGAGAGGGCAGCTCTAGAGAGAAGACAAGAGCAGGTGTCAACGCCGTGCATTAGCTGGCTGGCCCCTGGCAAAGGGAAGCGATCAGAGAGGTGGAGCAGCAGCATAGGTAGGAGAAGGCGGGAGCCCCGAGTTCTGGCCTCTGGTCCCTTGATCAAGTCTCCACCCTGGAGCTCAATTTTTTTTCTCTTCTGCAAACTCTAGGGACAGAGTAGCTGCAAAGATTTATCAAGAAAGATAATTATATTGAGACCAACTAGGGAGAGGCCTATAAAGAAGAGTGACCCAGTGAGCAAGATACCAGTGCTACTGCGGGGGTGATGGACAGATCAAGTTCACAGAACAAGTCCATAAACAGACTGATGCCAAAGGCAACATTTCAGGGACACCTGGGTGGCTCAGTCAGTTAAGTGTCTGCCTCGGGCTCAGGTCATGGTCTTAGGGTCCTGGAATCAAGGCCCACATCAGGCTCCCTGCTCAGAGGGGAGTCTGCTTCTCCCTCTCCACCACCCCTCTGCCTGCTGTATGCGCTCTCTCTCTCTCAAATAAATAAGTAAAATCTTAAAAAAACAAGAAAGGTAACATTGCAAATTAGTCGTGGGGATGGTATCAATAGTACGATGGCATCGTAGGTAGGGATGAGGTATCAATAACCCACTTGGAGATGACAGATTACCCAATTAGGAAAAGCAAGTATGATCCTGGCCTCACACCATAGAGCAAAATAAAAAATGCAAGTTGTGAATATTTGCTTTATCTTGGGGGTTGAGAAAATCTTTCTTAATAGGACTCCAAAAGCCAAAACCATAAATGGAATGACTAAAAGCACATGACTGGATAAAATGAAAACCTTTGGTATGGCAAAACCAAACCAAACCAAAACAAAACAAAATGAGAACAAAAACCCCATAAACAAGAGCAAAAGGCAAATGACAGGGCTGACTTAATTTGAGGTGATCTGATGGCTTCCGAAAACAAGCTTTCTCCTTTTTGCCCCAAGCCCATGAAGAGCTTACTTCCTGGTCCAGCAGCTGCTGGCCGATGCCCCTGAGACTGGGTTGCAATGTCCCTGTCTGCTCCTGGGGATACATCTGGCTCTTTGGAATGACTCCTCCATGCCAGATGTCTGACAATTCCCCCTCTCCTGCCTCCCTGATCTGACCTTGGTCTTGGGTGTTCATTAGGTGAGAGAAAAAAGAATGTGGAAGCTAAAGTTTCTATTAGCATGTCTGAGCTTTGCTGGAAAGCTCAGGTAGGAGGTGGCTCCTTATGTTCACACCACTGGAATGTACAGGCAGGCTTCCCAAGCTCACCGGCCTGGCTCCCGCCCCTGTCTGGGGCTTGGAAGGCAGACATCAGTTACCAAATGGATGGAACTCAAGGGGCTGGCCTGGCTTCCCAAGGTAATGGGTGCAGAGAGAAGCACAAAAATTTCAGGGGTGGTTGGGAACGGAAGATGTAAAGATGCCCTATCTTACATATGAGACAAGAACCAAGGCTCAGAAAAGCAAAACAAGGAGCAGAGGGCCACAGGCTAGCCATGGGCAGGACCAGGCCCAAAAGCTGGTACTCCCACATTTCAGAGAAAAGAAGAAGAACCTGCTGGCTGTTGGGGTGTTTTTCTACAAAAATACTGGGGAGATGGGGAGTGGGGTCTCATGGGAGTGACGGTCAGGCCTGCGCCCTGAGTGCTCCCATTTCAAGCCCTGTTGTGTTCCTCTGGTGTTAACATGGATAAAATTAGATTCTGGGCAGAGAGATGCAGGGGAATCAGGAGCGGCTGTGTGTGTCTGGGTCCAACTGTGCTCACATCTGCTTTCCAGCTCTGGAGCACGGAATGACTCCAGAGGGAAGCAAACTGGAGAAGGAGGGAGAGAGAGAGAGGGAGGGTATGTGTGTGTGAGGGGAGAAGGGAGAAGAAAGACAGGAAATGAGGATCAACACAGAGCCTGGAATGGTGGGAAAGAGCCCATTTCAGGGGGTGTCTGGCAGCCTTTTTAAGGTGGACTCTTTTCAGGATGGTTTTCTCAGTGGAAGCTCCTGCCAGCTAAAGACTTAGGCTATGGGAACAAGAGCTGGCGAGAAGAGATGGCTTGGGGTGACCTTGTTGGTCCTCTTAAGAAACTAAAAAACCCCAGCAGCCTTATAAATAACCCCCAGGCAAGTGGCTTAGCTTACCAGCCTACCTTAGAATGTCTGCTGGCCTTCCCATGTTGATCCGCAGTTGCTGGATTTGGGGGCTGGGTCTAGTTTCTTAGAGAACGTCAAAGTCTAGGGGCTAGTGGCTTTGGGCAACATCTGTCCAGGCCTACGGTCTTGTCTCAACCAACAGAGCAGAAAGGGACCCTTCAGCCCTCCTGACCAGTATGCATGGGGCCATGGGCAGGGGTGGTCACGTCTTGTCAGGTCACATTAAGGCTGATTCCTGTGAGGCCAGTGACCTTCACCCTACCTGTCAGCACAGCCCAATCTTGACACCACCACGGTCTGCCGTGGTCCGAGATACCATCGGATGAGTGCCCACGTCCTATCGGTCAATCCTGTTCCCACTGTGGGACACAGCTCAGAGCACTCATCCTGCCCATAGCAGGTCCGGGGTTCTTAGGTGCGAGGGGCTGAGGAAGTGGTCTCCAGAGCCCACAGATATGAGACTGTCTGAAACTGGGTGAAATCATCACAGTTAAGCTGCTTCCAAAGCACCCAAAAACATTTCCTGCGAATAAGGTCCCCCCTGGGAGGGTGCTGGCTGGCCTCAGAGTCCCAGAGCAGAGGGGACTGGAGGGCATGACCTGGTAGGGAAGAGGTGAGTGAAGCCCAAAGGCTTGAGTGTGCTTCCAGGACTGCCAAGGAAGCTCCCCACTCCCCTCCCCACATTCCCAAATGGTTTTCTCAGCTGGGAAATGCAATTAGGCCCTGCAAGAGGCGGGGGGCAGGAGAAGGAGGAGGCCTCTGACCTGGGCCTGGGCTCAGGCCTGGCTTCTGACCTGGCTCTCACAGCCCTGTGAGCCAGCCCCGCAGAGGGGAACAATGTGGGCAGAGCCGGCATCTGGGGCCCCCCAGTGTTGAGCTGTGGGCAGCAGGGGCCGCCCGCCGGGACCTCAACAAGGCCTGCAGACGCCAGCGCTCCGGGCGGCCTGAGCTCCATAGCGTACCAGGCAGCCCAGGCCAGACACAGAAAACCAAATTTAGATGTGCTGGACCCTCTTGGCAGACGCCTGGGTCCGGGATCGCACCACCAGCTGCAGGCAGAGCCGGGACCCCTGTGTCCCCCGGCCACAACGCTCTCCACGTCAACCTGTGTCGCCCTGGCCGCCACCATCTCTGCTCTCCACATCCCCGGAGAGAAGCCGCAGGACGAGTGCTCTGGTCGAGCCGTGCAGCTGAAGCAGCCGAGCCTGGGCTCTGGGGGCACCCACCTGCCCACGGCCGCCCCACAGTCAGGGAGGGGGACAGAGGGGGCTCCTTCTTCTGCTGAGGCTCCTACCTGATGTACCACCAGCCCTCCAGATTCTTCCGGATCACTTCCACAGTGACACCCTTCTCAAAGCCAATCTCGTCCTTGCTTTGGCTGGTGTAAGGCTGCACGGTGACGTACTTCTCCTCTGGGGGAAGCGAAGCAGGGAGGCATGGTTATCTGAGGCTGGCGTGCAGGCCCCTCATTCCTGTCTTCTCCCACCCTGGCCTGGCCCTACTTAGCCGGGGCCTCACTGCTGCTCCCAGTGTGTGCAGAAGCCTGCCAGGGCCTCAGGTGGCCTGACTCTCCCCGCCTCCCAGCCCGATAACAGCCACCACAGTGCTGGGGCCCGGGTCCTCAGGGCTCCCAAAGCTCCCTGGGTGGAGGGCACAGCTAGCAGAACCTGCCCCTCATGTGGCCTGAGCCAGTCAGTCCCTGGGATGTCTGGCAGCCCCCCGCCAGGGATGCGCTCCCCTTCTCTGAACATGCCACGCTTCCATCCGTGCCCCCGACTGGCTGAGGCCCTCTCCCACCTCCACCCCATAAGTCCTGCCTCTGTCTGACCTTGCAGCAGCTCTAGGGGCTCCTTGGTGAAGCCTCCTCTGACCACTAATCTGAACACCTCATCAGATCACTTTCCCCAGAGGACTATGGGGAACATGTGTTCTACGGGAATGGTGACCTGTGTTTTATGACAAGCATTCAGTGGCCAAAGGATCAAAGGCAGCCCTGGGTACAGCTTCCCGGAGTGCCGAGCCGGCAGGCACGCTGAGCTGACCACACAGCTTGGCAGTGCCTGTCTGGGGAGCTGCCCGCAGGGTCCCGTGTACCCAGGAGCCTTGCTCAGGGTCCCCTCTAGTACTGGGAAGGATGCGCCCTATGGAACTCAGAAAAAGCCTGGGAGGACAGGTGTGGGGACAGCCCTGGCTTCCTGAATCCCTTCAGCTTTTCTCCTGCAGGGGCCCCTTGCAGCCTTCGCCTGGGCCCTGGCTCAGGCTTCCAGGGAGGGGCTTCTCTGGGGACCCACAGCTGGCTGGCCACAGAAACCCTGCGCCTGGGTGGGGAGCCTCCCCAGGGGAACGCTCACATCTCAGGAAGGAGCACACATCCCCACCCTCACCATCTGGGAGAATGAGATGCTGAGCTAGACAGAACTGGCCCCCTGGCCACACCCTTTGAGCGGGTCACGCCGAATTCGGTCCCGGCTCCAAAGGGACTAAGCAGAGCATCGCCTAAGGGCAAGGCTATCGGAGCAGCGGCACTAAGTGGGAGGCTTTCCAGGAGCTCAAAATAGCAGGAGGCCGGGTTCTCACAGGCCTGTCTCCCTCCTCCCAGCTCCTGGACTCCTGGGCTGGACTCCGATGGGTGGCCTGGTCTGAGCCTCTGGCAGGAGTCGGGGAGGGGGGCAGGTGCCACCCCAACTCCCAGTGGCAGGAGGGCCATCTGTTCACTACGGATTCTCGGGGTCCGGTCTGTAGCCGTGCGCTGGGCCGAGGTGACAGCTCTTTCTGGGGTGGATGTGGCTTCCCTGCCGGGCTGCAGGGGACATTGCTGAGGGGCCCAGCCGCATCTGAGAGGCTGCCCAAGGCAGACGTAGGTGATGGCCCACGGGAGCTTCCACCTCTCTTCAGCGTGCTCCGCGCAAGGTGAAGCTCTTCCCGGAGGCAGGCCTTTCTCACCATCCACTAACTCCTGGAAGCTTTTGGTTCTGAGGAGAGCTGCCAAGACTGCCTGAGAACCTCGTCCAGCCAGATTCTGACTCGGGCCTTTGAGAAGCGCCGTGTTCTGCAGGCCAGCCCTCGGCGCTCCTGCCGGCTGCTGGTCACGCTCCATCTTCCGGTGGGGCACGGTCAATCCCGGCTGGCGCCGCGTCCAGAAGGGCAGTGCCAGGCCCCCGAGGATCTAGGGTTCTGAGGTTAGGGTGAGGCGAGGCCTGGGCTCCACATTTTGCCTTTGTTCAGCTAGACTATTTTTAAAAGCCTGTGGTTCCAGCAGGAAGCCATCATTAAAGTTTTTCCTAGGCAAAGTTGCTTTGCAGGGAAAAATTACAGTCCTCCTCTTAGGGAGATCAGAGGGGCCCTGTCCTGCTGCAGGGTGGTGAGCAGGGCCTCAAGCAGGACATGTGGGCTTGGGCTCCGGGGCTGTGAGCAGCCTCTGCAGCCTCCAGTGTGTGGGGTGCTCAGGACAGAGCCCCGAGGGCCATGTAAGTGCCTTGCTCTCCCCTGATCCTCTCCGGGAAGGCAGAGCCAGGCCCCTCTGTCTTACCTAGGGAAGCTGAGCAGCTCCTGCCAGAGGTCCCTGCTTAATGGCCCTCACGCTGCCATGAACACAGATGTCTGGGAGTTTAGAGTCCCAGGAAGAGGTCTGGCCAGCTCAGAGGTGTGTCCTGCCTTGTCACCGTGCAGGTTCCAGACGACGACCATTCTGAGGGCAACTCTTCCAGTCGGTCTGGGCGGGGGCTGACTTCTCTATCCCAGTTGGCTTAGATGGCAGAGGTGTGGCTTACCTCCATGTAGACACGTGCCATGCAGGCCTCAGGTTCCTAGCTCCCAGGTTTTGCCGAGGGAGCAGCAGAGTGGGCCCCTCTACTGGCCCAGAGCTTCAACCCCACCCGGGGGTGGGGAACCGGGATGGAGGATGTCTGGACTGGAATGGTCTTGGGGTGGGGGCTAAGTCATTCGGGGGGTGTCGGGTCTCTAGAAGAGACTCTTAGGAATCCAAGTGGAGGAGAGGGGCTCTGTAAGCTCTGGTGGGCACCTCAGGGTTTCTGGGAAGCACCGAGGCCATGGTCATTCTCATGTGCCATCAAAGGTTGGTGGCAACTTGGCCCTAGGGAGGGCTGCCCAGGCCGCCCACTGGCTGGGTAGGTGGCTGGCTGGGGGAGGTGGACAGGCCTGTTTTGGTTTTGGAGGTGGGGGCTGGAGAGCCCTGGAGTTTCCAAAACCACAGACGCCTCCTCTTTCAAATGCTTTCCCCTCTGTCAGCAGTCTCCCTGGCTCCCCTCCCGGCCCCCACAACCTCCCCAGCCCCACGGTAAGAGGCCTTTTGCTTCCAAAGGCCTGGCTGGTGGTGGGGCTGGGGAGGGGAGGCCCTAGGGAAGCATGGCCTCTCTCGTCTAACTGTAGATGACCTGCTGCCTGCTTCCCCCCACCAGCTCCACTGCTTGCCGCAGAGTTTCTCCCTGCCAGCTCTCTGAAGTTTGTCTTGGCTGCCTGATTTAACTTAGCCCTGATTTAACTTAGGGCTAAGACTGGGAAATAATGCTATTTAGGTCCCTTATTGGAGAGAGACAGAGAGAGGGAGGGAAGTTGCGGGCTTGTGTTCACTTACATATTTGCACATGGCCGTTTGCACATTTGCGTATGGCGTCTGTAGAAAACTACACATTTCATTGAATGTGCATGTCCCTGTGCCCCACTGTGTGTACCTGTGAACGCACTGTGCGTATATGTGGTGAGGGGTCAGGTGTGAGGCTGTAGGCGCTGCCCGGGAGGGGCACCTGAGCTGTGGCCGTGAGCAGCCAGCTGACGCATTTGTGTAAATGTGTGTGTGGAACAGTCTACATGTGCGTGCACAAGTGGGATTGTGTGTGAGCAGGTGGGTGGGCTGGAGGCACCATCAGGGCCGTGCACGAGTAGGAGCATTTGTCACTTCTGAGTGGCTGTGACCTTATAGGGACAGAGCTGTGTGTGGAGCTCAGTGTATGATGGTGCTCAGAGCAGATGCCAGAGGGGAGGGGGGAAGGCCAAACCTTCGTCTCTGCTGTCTTCCTGGGCCGCATCCCACTGTCCTCTGCTGCCAGGGCTCAGGGCTACATCCTGGCCCGGCCCGGCCCCCCAGCCATGCTGCCCCACTGCTCCTAGGTCTACGGTGCCTCTGCTTTATGTTCAAGCTTGTTCTTGCTGTTTCCACGAGGTAGCCTCCTGCCCCCAACCAGGCCTCAGGGTCCGAGTCTTGCTCCACCCACTGGATAAGCTGGGCTCCGGGCTCCTGCAGCAGCCGAGGCTCCGGGCGTGACACCAAGCCAGCCACAGGCAGTGGCCTCCTCCGGGCCCAGGCTTGCTGCTGCCTGGGGCATGGTCTCTGAGTTGTTCAGGAGCAAGCTCTGGGGGTGGGGGAAGGGTCACAGGCTCCCTGCTATGCTAGAACACGCCTTTCCAGCTGTGTTCTCCGCAGGCTAGAGAAACAGGCCCCCCTGGCCTGCGGGCTTTGGAGACGTTTAGGGGTTTGTTTGGGGGTCCGGCCCAATCTCTCTACTCCTCAAGCTCCTAGATGTTGGAAAGGTCCTAGACCTACAAATGTCTCAATTCCCGATCGTCCCAGATGGCAGGCCAGGAGCCTCCCTGGAATGTTCTCGATCAGGCCCCTCACGAAGTGCCAATGCCCAGTGCTGAGGACGCTGGAGGCTCCTGGCTGAGCCCGCTGCCGCATTCAGCACTGGTGGGGGCTGTGCTCCAGGACCAAGCCAGGCTGGGCTCTTGCTCCCGTTCCAGTTTCCCCGGAGCTGGCTGAAGGAGGAGGGCTACGGGCTGGTCCTAAGCAGTTGCTAGGGCAGCTTCGGCTGGGGGAATACCTCAGAGGAAGCGGGCAGCGAAGGGTGGAGGACGAGCGGGACACGCTCCAGACACACCCCCAGTTCTCTTCACCTGAGGCTTCCGGGGCAAATGTGGCCTTTCTTAGTCTAGCTGCTCCCACAGTCACATCGCGAGTCCCATGACCTCACCCACAGGATGCTGGCAGAAGCCAGACCCGCCCCCAGTTCCCAATCACGCTGATTCCCAGGCAGCCCCCTGCGCCCTCCTCCCCGACACGCCCCAGCCGCAGAAGGTGAGAGAAAGTCTGGCCACCGAATCCAGGTGAGGAGGCCACAGGGAGGTGAGGGGCAGAGGTGGGAGAGGAGGCAGGGCATTAGCGAGTGAGCGAGAGGAAGAGAGGTGGCAGCTGCGGGTCGAGAGAAGCCAGTCACCTCGGCTGTGCTGCCTGTTGACCATCCCGCCCAGCGTCCACCGGCGATCCAGACGCCGCAGATGGGCCTTGCGTCTCTTGGACACTGGTGTGGGAGATGGCAATGGAACACGCGGCCGACGGAACCAGCGGAGAGAATGGAGATGAGGATGAGATGGGATGGGGCAGGGGAGGGATGGCAGGAGGGAAGGTTCACGCCCCCAAGTCCTCCTCGCTGGGACTAAGCCCCAGTGCCATGCACCTGCTGGACGGGGGCAGATCTGCCTGGTGACACCACTGACACCCGGGGAAAGGCCACGGTTCATACTCGTGAGCCCAGGAGGGGCTGAGAACTTTGAATCCTAGCACCTGAGAGGTGAAAAGGGTCCTTGGCCCCAGCCTGGCACAGGGACAGCCCTCCAGGCAGTCCAGGGGCCCAGCACAGGGCCTGGTAGGGGGCCGGAAGCCAGGAAATGTTGCGGAGTGAAATGCGCACAGAAATGGACACCATGGGCCTTGGTTCTGCTCCTTCCCTGCATACTGCCCGCTGGATCTGCAACAACAGGGCTTCTCAGGGCTGTAGACCCCTTTTGTCTACCCACCGTCTCTGGGGTGGCTCCTCTGGTTGCTGGGGGCCCAGCTCCACAAGCCCTCTGCCTTCCTCTGGGATGCCACGAGGAATGGACCCCAGACCGGGGCAGCACCCCAGAAGCCCCCATCTCGTGGCATGGCAGAAGCTGGATAGCACTTTGCCCAAGAATGGGGGAGGGAGGCCAGCAGTCAGGGTCAAAGCAAACTATCCAGACACACCAGAGCCAAGCCCCGCCAAAGCCTCCTGGGGAGCCTTTGCTTTTCTTGAGGGAGGAGGGGGTGTCTCGTTTGACCTGCAACTGATGAGCAGGAGGCCTGGACAAAAGGTTGGAGGTACGGATTCAGCGGAGGCCTCACTGCCAGGTTACTGTGTCACCTGGGGCAGGCCTCTGTCCTTCTCTAAGCCTGTTCCTCACTGACACCCCCACCCTGGCATGGGAGGGGACAAGGGACTCAACAGGTTCTGTGAAACAGATACGAGGTCCTGTTGGAGGCCAGATGGGAAGGACTCGGACAGCTGACCTCCCGGGCAGGTGTGTCCTGTGGGCTCCCCGTGGGCAGAGGGGTTCGGCTGACGCCCAGGCCGGGGCCCCTTCATAAGTGCTATTTCTGCAATTGTAGCCATGCACAAGGACCGCTTCGTTGAAGCCTCACAAAAGCCCTGAGCCGTCGGCACCATCCCGTTAGAAACGGGAAGCCAGAGACACAGGGGTGTTAAGAAATCTGCTGAGTAACACAGCTAAGGGTTGGGGAGCACACAGATCAAGGTGGTCTGGCTCTGGAGCCCAGGCTCTCGGCCTAATGATGTTTTTCCCCTTTGACCCTGTGCCCCTTAGCCCACCGGCAACGGAAAGGGCCCCAACAAGGGGGTGGGTGCCGATGCAAACCCACCAGGGAGGAAGGCTCTGGGGCATGGGGGCCCGGGCAGAGACCCGGGTTCCAGTTCTGCCTGTCACAAACTGATCCATGGGCTCCGTGGAGGGGACACCTCTCAGGACGTCTGGGAGGCAATGGATCAAGCACTTCACGGGAGCATCTGGCCAGTGTTGGGCGTGGCCATCATCATCATCATCATCATCAGTGGGTAAGAGGGTCTTCAACCTCTACCCTGGGCCTCCTACCTCCTACCACTAGCATTTTGGAGGAAGAGGAGTACAGGCCAGAATGTCTGATAAGAGAAATAAACCCAAACAGCCAACTGTCTCTTTTTTCCAAAGCAATGAAACAAACACAAATCGTTAGGGGAGATTTGATGGGATGAAGGCTTCCAATTTCTCAGGACCCAGGGACCTACAATGGGATGGCAACAGGCCTGGAGAAGAGATGGCCAGACAGGGGAACCCAGGTGGGCTAATCTCTTAGCCACACGGAGGTGGGTACAGAGAGAGACTGGTGGACACACCACAGGCGCTGGGGCCTCAGGCTGGGAGACGGAGCCCCGAGCCCTCCTGCCAAGCAGGGTGGAGATGCCCAAGGTATGGTGATGAAATTCCCAGCTGCCCAGACGCTGCTGGGGGTACTGGCACGCCGGGTCCTACTGGAAGCATGCCGAGGAGTCTGTCTGAAAGAGGGTCACCCCGCGTGAACAGGCACACACACACAAATCTGCGCTGCCACCTGATTGTTTGTCCAGCAAGGTCAAGGTCATCTGCCACTTGCTACCGCTCACCCTCTGCAAAGCTCTCTCTTCAAACCAGACAGACTTCTGTGCACACGCACCTCTCCTGCTCCTTCCCACCTACTCCGTGTCCTGTCCTCCCTCTCCTGATGTCTCCGCTGACATTCGTGGCATAGCCTTTTCAGGCGGGGCTCCCATTACACACACACACACACACACACACACACACACCCCTCTCAGAGTTGCTTAAGAGCGAAACGCCTCATGGACAGACATAGGGTGCAGCGGTGAGGAGCACCGGGCCAGGAAGCTCAACTGAGCCTCAAGCCTTATGAGGACGAGCGTGCAGCTAACGGTCTGCGAGCTGAGGGGATGATAACGGTGCCTCCTGGGGGCGGGGTGGGGAAGGCTTTTCAAACGCCAGGCCACACACCTGGGAGTGAGTAAGACCTCAGTCTACACCCTAGGGATTGTTAGTCCCGAGAGATCCCGGGGTGAGGCCAGCACGAGGAAGTGGGAGGGAGGAGCTTGGGGGCTTACCTCCAGCGCCGCAGAGACCCGGAGACAACGCTGGGCGCCAGCTCTGCCCCAGCGCTCTGCAGCAGCCAGGAAGGACCGACCACCCAGCCTGCGCACGCAAACCCTTCCCGACAGAGCTTAATCGCTGGAAACCCCCGCAGGGGCTGCAGCCCTGGTCAAGGGACTGAAATGAAGCATTTACACAGGAGGAAGGGTAGGGCCGCAACCGCCCGCAGGAACTGACAGTCAAGGGGAGGCTGAACGGACAGCTGGCGCTGTGCTTGGCGGGCTGCTTATTTTGGCCTGGGCGGCATGGGATGAAGGGTGGTGTATATGGGGGGAGAGGGGAGGGCAGGCGTGGAGGCGGGCCTCAGGCCCGGGTGACAGGCCTCCCTCGCCCTGGCGCTCAGACGGGCCCGTTTGGACCGTCCATACTGACCGTTAGGGCAAGCATTCCTGCCAGGACGTGGGGGTGCTGGCAGTCACTGGGAGCAGGCAGCCAGGAACTGAGGTGCCTCAGACTCACTGGGCTCCGGCGGCGTGCTCTGGCAAACACCTGAGTCCACAGACAGGCTACCCAGGCCAGCGCTGGCCTGGAGGGCTGGGGGGAGGGGCAGGCTCTTTGAAACCCAATGAGAAAACATCAGAAAAAACCCACCAGGCCCGAGCTCATCAGAGGGGCTGGTGGTGCAGGGGCCACTCTGCGGTTCCTGCTACACTGACAAAGGACTCAGACCTGCGGTCTGCGTCTGTATTCTTGGCCAGGGCAACAGACGCCCAGAGCAGCAGAAGCTATGCACGCACAGCCCCCTGGGTTCATCCCTGCAGAAGAGAGCACGGCGTGGGATTGGGGAGGCAAAGCTGGGGGTCTCTGTGGGGATCCCCCGAGGAACCAAGGGCTTCTGCAGGGAAAGGGAGCTTTGGGGTCCAGTCCTAAGACTGCTCTCTCCAGTCTCTGCCCAGAGTTGCCAAAGCCTGAGATTCACAGTCCAGGGAAATTTCTCCTCTCATGTGAGCCCATGTAGGGACAGCAGGGACAGACCTGGGAAGGGAGGTGAGCTCATCGGCTGGCCCCAGTGAGATGGGGTCCCCAGGGAAGGGGCTGGGACATGACCCAGCTCTCTTGAGCAGTTCTGATGGTTTTAGGGAGAAGAGTGGGAACGCTCCCTCCAGAAGAACTGGGTTCCCTCCAAGGGCCAGAAATGGGTGGGCACCAAACCCTGAGGATCTCGAGGCAGCCTGGTCCCCACATGTGCCTCCTCATGTGCCTCATTATCTCCCTGCCCCTTGAACCTGCAGGCCCTTACCTTCCCCAGTCTTGGACGTGTTGATGTCTGAGTCATCCCGAGTACCATTCTGGGCCTCCAGGTAGGTGGCAGGGACCCAGCCCTGCTCCTCAGAGGTGCTCACGAACCACCAGCCTGCAGAGGGGACAAGAGAGAACACAGTCATGAGTGCCCAGAGGGATGGGGGGCAGGAGGGGACAGGGCACAGAGCTAGACATCCTGGGCACCCAGCAAATGCCTGGGTCACGTCTGGCCTCCAGAAGCCTGTGCTACACGGAGAAGAAGCCAAATGCATCCCCCGAGGGGAGGCCCCGATGGACAGTGATCCACACTTACACAAGTGATGGAAAAATTTAACAATGAGAATGAAACAAGGATATATCAAATGTGTGAAAATCACCCTGCAGGAAAAGCCGAGGACGCTCCGGCTAAACACAGAGACCATTCAGGTCTCTGAAACCCAGTGGAATTACTGGTGTGGTTGGGAGTTTAGCGTTCAAGGCTTTCAGAGGGATCCAGAGATAAATGCGTCACGGTGACCCACGGATGGTGGCTGCGCCCCTTTCCCATCGCGGGTCAGTGGCATTTGCACTTCAGTGCTACTCACGGCTGCCCTGGACTGTGTTGACATGTCAGTCACCCTAAGCAGGCACCACACCCTTGAGCGACCCTTCACGGTCATGGCCAAATGATCAAAGCTCACTGGTTTTCTTTCTTGTTCAGTAGCACGTTCATTTATCACTTAAACAAATGTTGACCACGCAAAGCACCCTGAGCACCCAGGTCCTGGGCCCCCACCCACTGCCGTCTGTCTCTTCTCAGAAGGTGTTCGTCACAGGACCTTGTCTTCGCCTCCATCCCACTCCGATCCTTCTCTACGCCCCAAGCCATCTGGCACCAATTCTCTTTTCTATCTACGACCGAGCTCTCTGTTTCCAAATATGGATGGTTCCCTGGCAAGACATCCCGGGCTTCTCCCGGGGCAGCCCAGAGACCCCAGAGAAGGCAGGGAGTGGCTGCCTGGGGAGGAGGATACTGGGAGCCTCCTGGCTGCTCCTTGCTGGGAGGCAGAGGCAACTGCCTGAGGGACAGAGGAAAACAGTGGTGCTCCTGCACAGGCCCTCACCATCCTGAGCCACCTCCAGGGTCTTCTGCTAGGTCCCCACTGCCTCACGGGACAGGCCTGGGGGAGCGAGCAGCCTGTGCTGCTGTCTCGAACGCCCACAGCACCTCGCCCTCCCAGGAGTTCCAGAACCCTCTGCATGCAGCTCTGCAAAGCCCCTGAGACAGGTCTGCACGCCACCATGACGACAGATGTGTGTCACTGCCTACTTGTCCACACAGCACCAAGAGTGAACCCCAACGTAAACTATGGATCTCAGTGACTGGGATGTGTCAGCGCAGTTTCATCCATAACAAGTAGACCGCTCTAGTGTGTGTGGGGGGGTAGAGTTCTATGCATGTGTGGGGGCAGGAAGCATACAGCAAATCCTTTCTGCAGCTCGGCTTTGCTCCAGACGTAGAACTGCTCTAAAACACACCAGTCTTAACCAACAAACAGGGAAAAGCCTTACACGAGCGGTCTGGAATTTCAAGGCCCAGGCCTCTTTGGCTCAGGGGCCTGAGCTGGGTCCCTGTCCCCTTTGGAACCCAGGGTGGATGCCTTCCCCCACTTCCACTCCCTCCCCCACCAGAGTCGGTCTTTCCCCAGAGTGGGATGGTGGGGGGCACATGAACATCCTGGGCCACCGAGGGGGCTCCCTGGAGCAGCCTGGCTATGCTCCTAGGATCCTAGGCCACAAAGAAACCAAAAGGCGTGGACTCACAGGGGTCTTTTCCCCTTCTCTTGGCTTCTGGGGGAGCACTCTCTGGAACCCAGCTATTTCCACCACGAGGCGCCAGCCCCAGGGGCTCCTGTGCAGGCCCTGACCAGAGGCCATGCAAGAGGGTTCCCACCTCGGAGCTTTTCCACCACGAAGGTGGCTCTGCCTCCTTGACCGTAGGAGTGGGCATACCCGCTCCACCATCTGACCCATCTGCCCTCTCCCTGCACGCTGTAACAGTTCCAGGGCTTTCCCAAGAACCGACACGGGTGCTTTGGTGTGCTGAAGGCTCAGTCCCCCGTAAACCAGGAACTGCAGGGCTATGTGGGAAGACATGGCACGAGAGCCAAGTCAGTAAAGCGGCTGCGCAGTCCAGAGATGGAGAAAGTCAGTCCTCACGAACATCATTCAGGCTTCAGGTTCCAAGTGGACTGAAGCTGGACCACCCTGCTGGGCGCCCAAACTACAACGAGCCCTTGACTTTCCGTGTTATTTAATGAAGCCGGAGCAGGTATCGATCACCGGAACCTGAGTGTCCTCACTAACACCATCTCTACCCAGCAGCCACCAAGGTTCATGACCGAAGGTCCGCCATCGTGAGACAAAGCTGGTGACAAAATTCAAGTCCACGGGGCATCTGCCCCCACAGACCTCAGCAGGTGGGGACAGGACCTTCTGTTCTGAGCCACTCTAGGTAACCGGTACCTCCCCCAAATTCCCACTCAGCAGGATAACCTCCAAGAGCCCCAAAGAACAGTCACCATGATTCCCAACTTGGAGTTACTTTCAGGAGGGTCTTAAAGGCTTGAGTCTCTCCCATGATCCCCAGGTCCAGGCCCCAATGCCGAAAGCACACAGTTTTGGTTCCCGTACCTCCAGGCCCTCACCAACGTGACCACCCCAGTTCTGTCCCCCAAAGCCAAGGCAAATCACAGTGGGCTAAGGAAGTCCCCTGAAGGCTTGCCATCAAAAGGGAGCTCTGCTTCCCAGGAGGGGGCTTCCCCAGGATGGGCCTGGGCTGGAGCCAGGGATCTTACAGTCATCGGAAAAAATGGGGATGTGCCCGAGAAACAGTGGAACTTGGAAGCATGCGTCTTGGTGAGAATTTGCCAAAATCCCTCCATGCGCAGCCTCTCCCAGCCTTGTCTATACCAAGGTGCGCCTCTGCCAAATCCACCCTCACAAACAATCCCTTTCTGTCTCCATGGGAGACTATTCCCTCCTTTCTCTGTATGAGCCCAGGGCTTCCCAGGAAAGCAGGCAACTTGGTGGTCGCCTGGATGGCCAAAATGTCTTCTAAGCCTTCTGTGTCTGGAATTTGGGCTCCACAAAGCCATCTTCAGTAGAGGCAAAGGAGGCAAGCCCCTCTGTGGGCACCAGGATGGCTGGGGTGGGGGGAGGAGGGGGTGGGAGGGAGAGATTTTCTCCATCAATCCCCACAGAGCTTGTCTGTGTCCTCACCTAGTGTGAACTGAGTCCCATCAGCCTACTGACCTCCTGTTTTCTCCCTCTCCCCCCAGCGCCATACTGGGGACCAGCCCCTATATGGGCCTTTCCCCTTGGATCAAAGAACTTCATAATCCCGGGGTTCAGGTCTCTTTGCTGCAGGCATTGTCTCCCCTATCCCCTTATTTCATCCTCCAAGAATCCTTCCTTGTACATCCTACTCTTTCCTTGTCCCCAGGAGCTGGAGTCCCTGACAGTTTTGCTGAGAACAATGGCCTGAGCTTCCACTCCAGCCCTGAAATGTGCAGAACTAGGCTGAGTGGCTCCGAGTCCCGGTCGCTGCTGCCTCAGGCCCTGCAGAGAAAAGCCTGCTCTTGGCATGGCTACAGGCCCCTCCACTGAGCAAAGACAGGTTCCAACACTGCCCAGGTGGGCATGGGGGAATGTGGGCAGAGGTGCCCACCCCAGCTCCCTACAGACCTCCCAGGAGCCTGGCACGAGTCACACAGCTGGGCCTCTGGGGGAGGCTCCCTGGGCCCGCGCCCACCCACAGTTGCTGACAAGCCTCTCCTAGATGCCAGCAGCTCAGACGTCAGCTGCTGTAGCTGGGGCTCCCGACCAAAGTCCCTTCTGCTCCACCAAGGAGCAATTAAAAGCCTGCACCCCTGGGGTTGGCCTGGCTGGCTAAGAGGGCTCTAGCATCAGCCAGCCCCTCAGGACTCCCTGGCTCACCTCCAGTGCCCACGGCATCCACTCTTCCACAGAGGCGGACACGTGTGGGCTGCATGTGGGGGTAGGTGTGGACAAGGCTTTGTATTTCTGAGTACACGGGATTGTGCTATGCCTGCATATGTATCTCCGTGGGGGTGTGCATTGGTTCTATGTGATGATTACGGTCAGACGCAATCTTTATATACGGTATTTAATCTTAAAGAATCTCATGAAGTGTTACTGTCATCACCATCCCCATTTTACAGGTGAGGAAATTGAGGCAAAGTTCATGATTAGGAAGAGGCAGAGCTGGACCTCAGTGAACCCAGGCAGTTGGGCACCAGGGACCATATCTTCACCAGTGCAGAGGTAGATAAGGAATTTGTCTGGTGTGTGCACAAGGGCAGATGTGACTCCTTGAGAACACGTGCCCCTGGACACTGGTACGTGATACCTGTCGCTGAGCGTGTGATTCCCGTGTGTGTATGCCAGGAACCGAGATACAGGGCTGTGTGAAGTTGAGTGTCTGTATATGGGGGATGGTCCTCTGGAAGTAGAAGGTAATACATTAGGGATCTAGGGTCCGAAAGACAAAGTCAGGTCCTGGCTTGCTACTTCCTGTGTGATCTTGGGCAAATCAGTAAACCTCTCTGAGCCTCAGTCTTCCCTCCCTGATATGGGGATGATTAATGGCGCTTATCTCCTAAGGTTGAAGAGGACAAATGAGATGAAAGTAGCTTAGCCTGGTGCCTAACCCAGACCTGGAGGTCAAAAACCTTGAGCTGTTATTAACGGGATGGTGGCTTTGATATTCCCCTAGGCTAACAGCACGGGTGCCCAGGTGCTGTCCGCCTACAGAGTAGATCAGGAGACGCTCAGTACAGCCTGGTGAATGGACTTGCGAGTGTGTGTACGCGCGCGCTTGCACGCCCACGTACCCATGTAGCTAATCTGTGTAGTTCAGGGACTGCCTTCAGGGGTTCCAGAAGAATGGGAGGGGCTACCTTTTGCTCTTTCCTTAGCTAATGCAATTCATGAGAGCAAGCACGGTGGGAAATGGTGCCAGGGAGAGGTCTCTGGGGTTTCCCTCCCTGCTCCACACGCCAGGGTTATCCTCAGCCTGGCCCCTGTCCTTCAGCTCACACATGGCCCCAG